GCTATACTGGTTCATAGTGTTCCCGAGGGTGACAAAATTCAAACTAAGTGTTTTTGTAACTGACATAATTATGACATAAATTTGGTATAACTTTTGAACTGTGTCGATATGGGTCTCGGCCATACTTCACACCCACATAAAATTGATTGAAAAAAAAAATACTTAAAATCATTCAAAAGGTTTTGCGAGTTCGAAGTATTTTTTTAATATTGATATTTAAAAGCTCAATTTCATTGTCAAACCGAACATGAATAAATTTCGTAGAACATTCATAAATAACGTTTGAATTCAATAATAAATACAAACATTTTTACAAAATTACAATTTAAATTCGATGTAATTCAAATCGAATCAAATTGCTTTTCGCATAAGGATTTTTTCACTTATGACGTCCTTTATAATACAGTATTTTAAAATTTTTATAAAAAATTTTTAATTTGATGTGGAGCGAGAGCATAAAAATTCCAATAATAATAAATTACGTCATTTCACAACGACCCCTAATTTGTCTTTAATTCACACAATGAAGATTAATTGTCGTAAAAAACAAACAAATCCAATTAAGACAAATGACGTTATTAGTCGCCCACTTACTTGCATTGATTCATATGAAGATCCCAATTAAGATTAAAATTAAACATTTTCAATTTAGCAACAGCCTTTTGTCTCAATGTTTCCGGTTGTTGCTGTTGCTGCATGATAGGAGCAGTGTTAACGATAGATCCTGAGAAATGTTCATGTCCGTCTGCAGTTCTTGAGTGGCTACTGGCACCCGAAAGACGTCTAGATTAAAAGAGTCATAAAAATGTGATTTTATTTTTCAATGGTACGAATCGGAAAAGAAAATTTTTTTATTGTTGCTGTAGTTATTGCTTGCTCATTTCATCCTACCCATCTCTCCTTGCACGACTCTTTCTTCTTCGCCGGCCGCCGACTTGTGGATGCATTTGAACTTGTTGCTGCGGTTGACCACAATCCGTTCCTTTTAGAAATCTTTTCACCTTATCCATTGTTCTTCTGTATTTAATTCTATAATTTCACACACTTTTTTGCTATAATTTTTTAAAATTTTTCTTTGTGACTTTTCTTTTTCTTAATTTTTAAGAGGAGAAATTGAGAGGAAAAACTTTTAATTTGGCAATAAAATTCTCCTTAAAACTACCAACAATAATTGAAAAAACTTTCTAGTTATAGAAAAAAAAACACGAATTTGGCTTTTAAAATTGGCAAATTTTCAAAAAAGTTTGACTTGTTTAATTCCGATTTTCACTGATAACAAAAACTTGAAATGCATATTCAGTCTTTATTTGTTATTCATTGGGAAAATCCTTATTCTCACCGAGAAAAAAAATCAAATATGAAATTCATAAACTAACACATGGGAGTTGAGCAGAGCTTTCAACGATTTACGAAAAAAAAATTATTTTACGAGAGTAGTCATAGAGAGCGAGAATAATGTGTCTGCAAATTCCTTCCTTTCTTACACACTTCTTTTTTTCTCATAGAAAAGAAGAAAAAAAATTTTTCACTACGAAGTTACTTAATGAAAAGTATAATCACTGACTGTCGTCAAAACATGATAGAATTTCACAACCAACAAATAATTTTAACGTTCCGTAAACGCATCGACTTATGTCGCTTTTAAAAATTCATCTCTAATTCAATTAATTTTAATTAAACAATCACAATGTCACTAAAAAGGCTTTCTACTCTTTCGACTGCCAACAAATGTTTTTCCGCAACGATTACCAATACATGCGCAAGGATATTCGAATGAAAAATGTAGGAAGGAAAAAAAGTGATTCTGTTGACTCTCTTTCGACATCAGCACGTTCTTCTCTCCGAAAATATTTTTTTACATTCTTTGTGTGAGCTTTTTTCGCTGTATGTAGCATGTGAAAGCTATCATGAACTTATAGTGGCGAGCTTTATTCTATTATTATATTTCCATGCTTTCTAGTAAAGCGGCAGTGTTTTTCCTTTGAACTTTCAAACATAATTGATTCATCCTTAAAAGTGCATAGGCATTAAAAACTAGAATTTTGATTCGGTTGTTCATAAGAATAGCTTAATTCTTCTAAACTTTTAATTCTTTCTTTCTCAAAGAATTCTAAATCTGTAATCTTTATGGTGCCGTTTACTAATGATGTCCAGAGGGGGGGGGGGGGGGGTCAGCAAGAAAAGAACAATAGAAATTCCAGGAAATCAATTGTTCCGTTGACCGTTAATTTCGGACATCATAAGTGAACGACCCCTATGTAATTGGAACAAAGTGATTCCATGTAATAACCAGCAACAATAAATCTCATTGTAGAGTAGACTTTAAATGAGATTTAGCCGAAATCCATATGTTTAAAGTTTTGTGCCTTTATGAAGCATGGAAATGGACCAATATTGAAAATTATATTTATCAATTGAGTTATTGAACTGTAAATTATTGTTCCTGCATGCGATTTAATTGGCGTAAAAACAAACTTCGTTTCTCAATTTCTTGCCTTAATTGGATCAAATATATGATTTAACCCAGGAAACAAAGATACTGTTTGGGATGAAAGTCAATTATTGGATTAACGAGTAATATTGATGCACAAGGCATGGAATCTTTAGATAAATTCAACAAAATTTCATAAAACTCTGCAAAAAAAATTAAAAACAAAGACGAAATCTTAATTTTCAAATTTTCTTTATTTTATTCATTTAATTTATTTTCATATTTTTCTTTGACTATTGATTTATTGAGTAAGGATCGTCTCAAAAGTTTCAGTAGAGCAAAACTAATCTGTTTTCTTTTTATTTTCATTAACTTTAAAAGTCATTGATCTTTAGATGATGGATTTCTTATTAAATTAATTATTTATTCCATCCCAGCACTAATCCTCCCATTCACAAAAATGTTCATGCAATTTCCACATTCATATCCTTCAAACTTATTTACATTTCACTGTAATTTTCACATAGGTATTTTCCATTTCGTTTTAAAAAATATATCAATAATTTCCTTATTTTCATTAAACTCCCATATTTTATGGTAAAATAACATTCTAATGTCGATTCCAAATTTTCCATCCTATTTTTCACAAAAAAAAAATTAAAATATGAAAAATTGATTTTTTTTTAATATATTTTGGAATCATTTGCAGCCTTAATATTTTCATCAAGAATTCTGTTTCTTCTGTTTTAATAAACATTCATAGTTATGATATTTTTCTTCTTTTTTTTTTGATAATTTTATTAAATTATTATCATTATTATTGGAATATAAACATCTAGTTATTCAGTAGATGATTATTAAGGGTTTAGCAATCGATCTTTCCAGGCATTCTGCTGTGTGATAATTCAGTAGAAAAGAATGTGTCAATTTGATAAAGAATCTACGGAAGTAATGTCGCATCACCAAACCCCAATAAACTATGCATTTTTATTATTATTAATTCACAATTACAAAATAAGACTTTTCGTCATTTTTTTTTTTAAATTTGAAAAGCTAGAATTTTTATTACTTTTGATTTTAATGATTTCCATCATCCTTTCCTAATGTCTAGATTCGCTATCAAAATCATCTTTTATCTCATTCTAACCTAAATTTTATTACAATTAATTAAATAAATTAAGTTCGTAAACATAATAAAAAATATTTTCAACTTAATTGCTAACCGTTATACATCGTATTGGGTTTCATTCTTATTTTCTGCATTTTGCATTGGTTCCTAGCATTAAATTCAACAAAAGAGTGGGGAAATTGGTAAAGCATAGATAGAGGAAAAGAAAAACAAGCAAGACTTAGAGGCCGTTCACTTATTACGTTCGCATTTCAGGGGGGAGGGGGGGGTTGAAAAATTGTAACAAAATGTAACATAAGGGGGGGGGGGGGGTGTCAAGAAGTATGTAACGTTCTAACTGTCGTCTGTTTTTTAAAAAAAAAGTTCACCAAAAACATTTTTTTAAATTTTCCACATTTTTAATGATAAAATAAATTATGAACGTTCAGGAGGGGGGGTTTGGTTCAGTAGGGGGGGGGGGGGGGGGGTCGGGGGTTTCAGGGGGGGGGGGGGGGTTGAAAAAAGTCGTTTTTTTTGCGTAACGTAAGAAGTGAACGGCTCCTTATGAAGTAATTGATGCAGAAAATAAATATATTTATGTATCAAAAAAGTTCTAGGTCATATAACAGTATAAAAATAGTCAGTTATTAACAACTTAATTCTTTCTTTCTTTCATTCATTCATCGTTTTGTTACTATAGTAATATAAATGTCATCATTGATTTTTCTCTTAATTTTCAAATGGATTATTCTTTGGAGTCTTCATATAACCGGATACTGCCGTTTCCATTGAACTAAACCATGCTGGATGTAGCCAAGGAGTAGAACTTGGAGGTGGCGTTGGTGGATATATTGTGGGTGATGGTAAAGCTGAGCATGATGATCGAGAAAGATCGTGATGAGATCCAAGAGCTGCTGCTGATGCATACGAGCTACTTAAGAAATTTCCACTTGTTCCATAAACATCTCCAAAATTGTAATGACTATATGAAGTATTATGTCTACTTCCACTCGATGAATGCGAGGATGAGGGAGTAGATGCAGATGAACAGGATGTAGGAGATGAATATAGGGAAGCACTGGACGACGCTTCCGTAGCTACTGACGTTGAACTTCCATTATTGTCATAACGGCAACTTGATGAACTCGAAGATGTTGGTGACGAGAATACTTTCTTATCATATGTAGGTGTTATTGGTGATGGAAAAGAATGCTGTTGCATTTGACTTAATTGCTGCTGCTGTTGCAACATTAGTTGATGTTGAAGGTGTTGTTCCTTCTTTTTCAACAGAAGACCTTGTGACATTTGCGTCCAAAAGTCTGATGTTAAATTATTATAGTCACTGGAAGTTTTTGCTGAAGATCCATTAACTGATCCAGAAGATGATTTGGATAACGTCGTAGGCGACGAAAGTGACGTTTGGGGACACGTTGATGACGTTAGTGTCCCCTGTAATGATTCCTAGCTGATACGAGCTCTCTTACTTGCGTTTTTAGCCTCTGCCATTTGACCTCGAATCTAAAAATGTAACAAATTCGTCCGTGAGTTCTCTAGTCATGCGTGAGAGAAAAAGATTGTAATTATTCTCACTTACCATATAATTGATCTGTGGTAAATATGTTATGACATCACATACTCGAACAAATGGTACATTATCAGCTATTGTTTTACCTAACTCTGTATATGCCTGATATTGTGGCCTGCAAAAGGAAAAATAAATAAATAAATAAATGAATGCAATAAATATAAAAAATCCAAGTTTGAATAATATAACAGGAGTGGTCGAAAAAAATTCGGAATAATTTTAAACTATATCAAGGTTAGTAGTTCAATGTATACATCTAGTTAAAATATAACTGGACAATGAAAGTCTATAATCCACATAACCTGAATATATCGTTATTAATGCTCATCATAAGCATCATTAAATATCAAAACAATCAATCCTACTCGTGTTACTGACGTAAAACATAATTCTTCGACCAGACCCATATAAATATTGCAGTTAATTTAATGAGACCGTTAACTTACTTAGTACCGCTATATAAGTTAATATCCAATGCCTGCATGACACGTTTACAAATATCCAAATTTGCGCTTGGATAGAATTGATCTCGTAGCTCACTCAATGGTATAATCATGTCACTATTTGGTGAATATGGTATCATATTAATGCAATGTACCATTTGATTGTCAATGAAACTTTTCTCAATCTTGTATGGTGATGATCCATATCCATTCATACCAGCAGCAAGGGAATTTTGCATTTGCATTTGCTGTAGACGACTACTCGCTGACGATTGCATTGATCGTGTAGATGAAGAATTTCCATTCATATATGTTCCATTATGTGCTCGCTTATTTGCAGCTGATGCGGCAGCAGCTTGTTGAACTTGCTGAAGTTGAAGTGCAGCTACGCTCATCGACCTTGGAGTAGGGGAATTAGAAGATAGATCGATTACATCCAATGGACTCGAACGTGATGTAGTTATTACGCTCTTATTTCGTAGGGGATAGGAAAGGTTTTGTAATTGATGTTGGACTTGATCAAGATGAGAGGATTGACTACCAGCAATATTAGGGTTTTGTTGCTGTGTTTTCATATTTGAATACAAATTCGTATATTGCATGAGAGTCTCTTTAAGTACTTCAGGATCACTAAAGTTTTGCTTCAAAAATAACTCATTTAATTGTTGTTGTAGCACAACAGGAAGATTTTGAATTTGAGATGCCGGAGATATGGATGGTTGCTTTGCAAAACCAGCCGCCGGACTAGCTCGAGTTGGAGATGCAATTACCGGCGAAATATTAGATTGAATTATACTTCGAGCATTCCCGTTTTGAGCATTTTTCGGGTATATTGAGAGAGACGAAGGAACCGAGTGATCCTTACTATTATTATTATTATTATTATTATTTGAATTGCTGTTTCCACTACTATTATTACTATTATTATTATTACTATTACTGTTCAAATATTGTGTTGGCGTGATTGTCGTTGAAGCCGGAATTCGATTCAAATAGGATGCTGGATTTTGACTACTGCTATTGCTACTAGTACTATGATTATTATTATTATTATTACTTGTCGCGTTGGATGGGCATCGAGTTATTGTCACAACATTATTATTACTATTTTCATATTTGTTACTACTAAGACTACTATTGCTGGCAGGATAAGGATAGGATGTGGAAGAGGAGGAGGTATTGGATTGTGTGTTTGCGGATGATGGATTATTTGTGGAGCGTAATTGCAATTGGGCCGTTGAACCATTTGACCTAGAAACATTATGAGGACGAAAGTCGCGTTTTTTCAATCAAAACTTTTGATCTCTTTTTTTTCATTTTAATTAATTTTAATTTTTCGTATATTTTGGTTTATATATGAAGCGAAAAATAAAGTAGTTAAATTAAGTTTCTTAATTATATTAATTAGTGAGCATTTTGTGGTTAAACAGTATGTATATATGAGTGTGTATGTGGATATGTTTGTGATAGAGAGATAGAAATATATAATAAATAGAGAAAATGAAGTATTAAATTAAATAAAAGTTCATGTATTCATGTAAGTTTTAATTAAGTTTTCGAATCAGGTTTGTATGTGTGTTATTTACAAAAGTGTTGTATGAATCAAGGCCGCGACGACTTCTAAATTTGACACATTTTTGATGAAGCAATGCATTTGGTGCTTTTCTGTATAATGCTCCATCAAGAGTAATGAAAATTTTCAAGATTATTTGATTGAATTAAGTCAATTAAATATGTAGGTCCAGTCTGGAGCTGTTTAAAAAATTAAAATTGCTGACTTTTTCAGCCTCAAAATACTATTTGACCTCTAGTTAAAAAATTGTTTTGGAAACATTCTTTTCAACAATATAAGAATTTCGAGAATCAAAATTAAAGTTTTTTTACACGATTGAGACTTTGAATTATCATTTCGCATTATTTTTCAAAGTAGAATGATTAATAATGTTTCATTCATTTGATAAAATATTCTAAAATAGCATCATAGTTTTAAAAGATGTCTAGTAAGGCAGATTTTTAAGAAAATCAGTCAAAATTTCTGAAGTCGACACGCCTCAAGTATGAACCAAATTCTCACAGAATGAAGTTAACAGAAAAGGAAATAAATGATTATATGAAATTCCCAATTCCAATTATTATTTTCAACAAAAAAAAATATATAGAATATTAAAAAGCAATTCATTTTAGTTCATATAAAAAAAAAATGATAAATAAACGTTAAAAATTATAAAATAAAATAGAATTTTTCATTACTTTGTTCCTTTTTATCGTCTTCAAAATGCAAATTATTCACATTCAACAATCGCTGCAATTATTTTGAAAACGACAATAAAAGCAATGACGATTTAGAGAAAGAAACTAATCAAATTAAAATAATGAATGTAGCTCCACATTTATTTTTTTGATAATTTAAATAATTTTCATCATTTTTAATAATTTTTTTTTAAATCAGTATTATATTCGTAAATGTTTCAACATCCGTTCGTCATAATTGGAAAAACGCATAATGATTCTAGGAAGGGTTCACGTCGATATAAATGAGATTAAGTTATTTAATTATCTTGTGCTTATAAATTTATTAATATTATTCATCATAATTGTCGGTAAATATGTGATTAATAAGTAGGTATTTAAAGAAAAAGAATTATGTACAATAAGAAAAATAAAATACATAACAAGAAGCTCATATTCCTGTTCTTCGCATTAAATAAGGCACTTTTGTATACATTAAGCCCGCTTTACTCCCACGAATTTTAACGAATATTGCCAGACATATTTAAATACGATCTCTTAAAATATCAGATTCCAAAAAAAAACGATATAGGAAAAGAAATAAAATTGATACATAAATTTATTTTAAAGCTAAGATAGATTTGAGTATGAGTCATCTAAATTTTTATTTATGGAATTGAAGGCAAAATGATGTCATCATGCAATGATTTTTGAGTGTGTGTGCGTGTGTGTAATGAAGTCTCGCTTTTTGTAGTCATGTGGTAGGTTGTTTATTCACAGGAAATTCCCGATGTATTAAAATGCGCGACTTCTACAGAATTGAAAAAAAAGCCCCCTCAATTTATAGGAAAATCTAACTATAACATGTTCAATTGATAAGAGAATACAAAAGTTTTGTTTTTTTTTTTATTTGTCGTAATATGAGCGTAGCACAAGATTTTAGAAAAAATAATGGATAAGAGAAAATAACGCTGATAATGTATATATAGGATCATCATGCTTTAATTACTCTCAAGTATACTAAACAATACATTCAACAAAGATATGCTAAGATATGAATGTGATGATAAAGTCACCGGAAATGAAAAATTTTGGCGCATTTTTAACAGAAGCAAATTTATGCAGATCTAAAAGCATTTTGATAAATATGTAATCGATAGTTTACATTTCTGTTTACCTAAAATTGAAGCTTAGATTTTAGAAAATCTCCGTTATGTTTTAAAAGAACTTTTTTGTCAGTCGCAATAAGATGTGCAAAAATGCGCCAAAATTATCAGATAAGGGTATTTACAGAGTAGAGAAATGTAAAATGAATGGATTCATGCGATTCTATGCCTAATGCATTTAAATGACAAAATAAATGTAACGCTATATATTTATATACTTAAAAAATTAGACATTTAACTGACTTACATTTGATTTTGTTGCTGTGCTGATCGAACAAGTGGAGGTGGTTGTTGAGTACTGCTACTTCGTGAATGTCCATTGCTGTTCAATGACATTCCACTACCTGAGTAAGGATACATTCCACTTTGTAATAAACTTTGCATCTGTTGTTGCTGCTGTCTTGAGTACGTCGATCTGGTAGATGATGCCTAAAATTAAAAATGATTTCCTCATTAAAATTAAAGATTAATAATAAAGAATTAATCAAATTTACCTGTTTAGTTTGTGCAGATGATGTGAGTCTGAACATTTGATCTAATTGTGATTGAGTTAGTTGATTACTCCATCCATTGCTTAAAGCCTGAAAGATAGCGATAAAAGAGAGAAGGCAAAAGTATTAGTTATGATTGCTCAAAGCTCGTTGTGAATCCGGCAAAGAACTCACGAGAGCAGCCAAACTCGCCTGTTGGTTCGGCGTCATCCCCGCTTGCATTGATCTCAAGTAGCTCATATCCATATTCTGCTGATACATATGTTGTAAACTATTCATTGATCTTTGTTGCTGTTGAGTCTGTTGTTGTTGTTGCTGTTGCTGCTGCTGCTGTTGAGTTTGTGCTTGTGTTTGTTGCTGCTGCTGTTGCTTTTGGGCTTGTAATTGTTGCTGAGTTGTCCTTTGCTGAGTTGCAGTATTCATAATTTGTTTTGGTGGTGGATGTGTCCAATTTACAGTACTATTATGAGATTTCTGTGGCATTAGGAGCTGCGTATCGACAACTTTATTTGGCCAGTAATCCTCAAAGATTGTTCCTTGTGGAAAGTATCCTTTAATGTCGTCCAAACTAATTACAGGTACCGTATCACTAGCAAACAACTCATTTCTAATGCCTTGAACTTTACAACAAAACTTAAGATATGATAAATCCCATCCACTTAATGAGTCAGCCTTTAATTTTAAATTCTCTGTTTCACCTTCGAAATAAAAGAGTGGCACCATTTTTTGGCCATCTCTAACTGTATAAGGAACTACAGATTCACTATTGATACGAATAAATCCACATTTATCATTTGGCGTCGAATAATTAGTAAGTTTCTTATAGCATACGTCAAGAAATTGTTGAAACTTTTGAGCATCACTCAGTCGCACAATAAGATCTTTCATGCTAAATTTCTCCTTACCAAAATACTGATCGCAATGTCGAAAATTAATTTCATCTAAGAGTCGTGCCTCGACATCCGTTATATAATAACTTCTGATACTAGTACAATTATATAAATCCTGATGAAGCACATTAAGATATTTATTAAGTAATTTTTGTTCAACTATGCGCACAGCGCAATATTTTTCAGTTTGTCGAATAATATAAGGAATGTGAATTTTCCCGCCGTTGAATGATTCCCAACCAAAATGTCCTTTAAGACTCTCATCATCAGCCGGCTTTGCCTCCTCCACAATCGTATGATGATTGTGATGATTTGACGATCCATTCATAGTGGTCGTCGTCGTCGAGTTTGTTGAATTATTTGCACCTGTCTGTTGTGCCATTTGTTGTGATGATGACGTTACTGCTGGTTTCCGCTGAAGATAATTAAGTATTGAATTCTGTTGTGTTAACGTTGATCCCAAAAACGATGATTGTGATTGATTAGTAACTTGCTGTGTCTGTTTTGCCGCTTGCAGTTTATGAGCTTCGACCATTTTTCTGGCCAGCTCCCTTATTTCCGCTTCATCATGTCTCTCCTCTTTTACTGATGGTACAAATGTTGTCATGGCTTACTTCCGCGCCAAAGGAATTATAATCAACAGTGTTTTTTGAGTCTTGCCGTTGTATACAATTCTTCTTATTCTTGTTTATTAATGGATGTTATGGTACATCCAAACAAATTATCTCGAACCAGCTGCACAGGCAATACTAAAAGATATATTTCAAATTCACTTCAATAGCTCTTACGCATACACACAGAAACGATTCGCACAATTTTATTTGTTTTTTCCCGTTCACGTGTGCTTTGTAATTCTCTTCTGACCAACACTTTTTCTAGGACTTACAAACTCACTTCTCTTCCGTTTTAAGCAATAATTCTAGAAAATGCATTTTCCAAGCTTCTCTTCTCAACCATTATTCACTTAATTTATTTATTTATTTATTGATCCGTTTCGTTAAAATTAAATTGCACAAAGGATGGCTCTATATCCTTTCCACTTTATCTGTTTCACCTTCAAAAAGATTATTGGCTTCACTTTTTTTTTTGTTGCTTTGTCTCTCCTCTTCTTACTCCATACATATATTTACTTTCATTCAAAGACACTGACAAGATTAATGAAATATTTTTTTATGCTGTTATGAATTTGCGAAAACTTCTTTTTCATTCCATTCATGTGATTAAACGTACTTTAATTAATATAAACTAAGTTTTATTAGTCTTGATTGATTAAAAACGTCTGTCTAATGAGCACTTTTGACGATATTTGAAGGAAAATTGCTGACCCAACAGAGGAATTCAGCCAAACTTTTTTTTATTGTATCGAGACTATCGGGGTATTAGCCGCAACTAGCGACACCTATATAGGTCGTTTTTTCTAGATATTTTTACACTTTTCACAGATTTTAATTCAATAAAATGATAGTTCTTGGTGGTTCTAAGCACATATCTCTGATAAGAGTCACAAAGTTATTAATTTTTAATAAGCTTTATACATGAAACTGTTTAATGAATTCTGTAGTCTCACGATCACAATGTATATTTTCACATATTTTTACAATTTTCACTTGAATTTCAATTCAATTTTACTTTATCCCGATTAATTGAACCTTTATGCCTCTATTCACATTTAATTTTTAATGAAATTTGTTAATTTTACTTATTAAATTCAACAATTTTGTTGCGTGAATATTTCAACTTCCAATGCTTTTTGATGGGATAATCCTACGTTCATCGCGCATACACTACTATTACTTTTTTCTCTTTTAGTTGTAAATGTACTTTCCGCTTATTTATGTTTGTTTGAACATCATAAACTTTTTCAGGTATTTAATCACATGTTGTGGTGAATTTTCCAAGATTTTAATTTTTTTGGCAAACTCACCACAAATTTGTTGAGTTTAGTATTAAAAATCCACTTTTTGGTAAACTCACCACAATTTTTAAAATCAAAATGTTCGTTATTTCTGTTGTGTTCTGTAACAATGTTCAAATTTTCAACAAAAAAAACTCACCACAACGTCACGTGTTTTTTCTGAAAATTCAAAAAAATTATAATTGTTAAAAATTCAAGTAAAACCACTAGAAAAGAAAGAATTAGCAAAGAATAGTCTCACATATTTCAATAGGAACAAAAATCTTTCCTCAGCGGAATTGACGATTTTGTAAAGCTATGGTAGTCTCACTAAAAATACAAAACTCACTCATACACACATCAGTCACACTAACACATTTTCATTCATTCTTTTATGTGTATGTCCTTGAGTTTTAATAATATATATTATAAAATGTCATGGCTTCTCTTTTCTTATTTTGAATGGAAATTTTTATTATATTTTCTCAAAATTTGCTTCCTTTTTCATTCACATTTGTTATCCATCATCCTTCATGGGTTTTTTACTTCTTGTTCTTCTTGTGTACTTTACAAAATAATAAATAATTGCATTGTAGGTAAAACTAATCATAGACTATTCATTTTTTTTGCTTTTTTAAATTTATTACTTTATATTAGTTTTTTTTTTGTAAAGAAACTTGATTTCTGTGTGGCTTGATGATGAGCGAATAAGAAAATTTTCATCTTAAGTATTAATAATATTTGCATTATTACATTATTTACGTGTGTAGGGCTGATATCTCATGGGAAAATATAACATTATTTATTTGGTTTCACATTATTCAATTCTTTTCTTTTTTTTTGTTTCTTCTTCTCATTATCAAAAAGGCAATTTATATATCTTAACGGATTCATGCTGTGTTTTATGATGAGAGTGTATTGTACTGGTTTGTGTGTAGTGAGATTTTTTTTTCTGTAATACGCATGTAAATGAAAAATGAATATGTGGATTTTTATTTTCTTTTCTTTTTTTTGTGAAAAAGTAAAGTCTGCACGAAAAAATATGTGAATGTTACTTAGGCTTCTTATTATTTTTCATCATAAAATCAAATATATATATACTTTCTAATGGCTTACATCGTCGCTCCACATACACACAAAGTACACTCATACTTTTGAGCATATTCTTCAATGAAATTTCTTTTCTTCACTTTTAACTTATGTTAGTTAAATTTTTAAATATTATTTTTTGATTTATTTTATAGCGCCCTCTTTAATAAATTAAGAATTATTAATTATCTTCAACTCATCATATTTCTCATTCGGATTTTAATTTTTGATAATTGATGAAAACAAAACAAAGACATTTTTAATATAAAAAAAAATATTTGTTGGTGGGATTGAACGTCTTAAATAAATAAAGAAAAAAAAAGCTATTTTAAAAAACGTCATAAGTTCGTCAATGCGCATTTTCCAACGTAAACAATCAGTCATAAATCTTGATAAATGTTTCCAATCGAAAATATTTAAAGATTTTTGAATCGACATTTTAAATTCAAATCAAGGAACATTATGCTTAATTATAATAACATAAAGAGTATCCCGTCAGATGTGACAAGGTAAAATTTTGCCAAAAAAGCTGTTTCTATTAAGATTACTTAATAAGCCCTAATAAAAGTTCAATTTTGCTTAGCATTCTCTTTTTGTGAAGAGATCAGGATTTCATAAATCTCCATTAATAATTACTCAAATCGTAATATTGGCCAGAACGGAATAGCAGCAACTAATTAAAGAATTAATAGTATTTAAAAATAAGAAAAAAATTAGTTAAACAAAGAGAATATAAGGTGTAGTTGCAGAAAATGGCAATAAAAGCAAACGTAATGTTCTGGTTTACATTATAAACCAAGATAATAAATAGAATAGAAACAGACTAAACACGTCATACGAAATGCGTCAAAGGGAATATACTAAAGATTGTATTACATACATCTATGAAAAATACGATAAAAGAATTGTCGTGTATCGTGTACAGTAAGACAGATTTCATGAAAGGGCTGCTACTTTTAAGAAACTAATTTTTACACAATTTTCCATGTAATTGTAACATACAAAACGGAAAATAAGAAATGAAAATTAATATTTCCTGATATAATCTAATCCAGACAATATAAGTATACCAATTTTGATATCTATACAACTGTAAATAAAACCTACTTTAAGTTACAGCTTTAAATTTAAACAATTCAACATTATTTTGTAACATTTTCCATGAATTTTTGATGAATTTTTTGATTTCAATTTTTGAATCTTGCTTATTTTATGTATATTTAATAATTATGTTTAAAGTGAAATGAGTGTGTTCAATTCTTTTTTTTTATGTTGTGGTCCATTGAGCTATTTATTATTCTGTATTCCTTCGGCCACACATTGTTCACTCCTTTTCGATGCTACTCCTTTCTACAATTTACTTCTTCTTGTTTTGTGGCGTTTGAGGACGACTTGAGTTTGACTGAAGTCCTGCATATTGATATTTCGCTTTCTTTTCACTAGGTTTCAAAATCTAGAAAGATAAAATAAGGATGAGAGTTTCAACAATGAAAATTAATAAAGCAGTTAAAAGATTATGAGAAAAAATTAAAGGGATTTTTACCTGGAAAGAACACATAAGTGAATCATCGACAGACATCATTCCACCAGCATTGTCAAATTCACCGCAGTAATTAGGGGCAGAGAAAAGCGTCACAAGTGAACGTTTGGCAAAGAATTCATAACCATCTTCTACAACTTGATGTGCACGACAGATTAAATCAAGATCGTGGCGATTAAGAAATTTCTGTACTATATCTGCACCGAATGTAAAGCTTACTCCTCGATCATTTTCACCCCATCCTTGCACATCTTTGTCTGGATCACTCCATAAGAGATCACACAATAATCCAGTGTCGGGTACGTCTGTTGGTCGCATGATTCTACGAATTTGCTCCATACCCTATAATTGAAATTTCATTTCGTTATTTTCTAAATTTTGAATTTGAAAAGCGGTAAAAATAAGATTGATCCCGTTAAAAGTAATTCATTTGTTAGGAATATGTACAGAGTTTTGAAAATATTTTTTTTTTGTGCTGCATAGCAACTATCAACGAGCATTATATTTAGAATGTACAGAGTGTAAGGTCAATAACTTTGGCAAAAGTGCGTCATGCTAAGCTTAAAATGAGTCAGAAATACTCAATAAATGAGATTAAAATTTTCATTTCAGGGAAATTTTCAGAATTGTTGTGTAATCAATTTTCTCATAATTCAGATTGATGACTCATTAATGGAAAAAAGATATTTGTCGTTCAGTAACGAAACAATCCAAATGTTCAAAATAAATATTCATAAACAAAAAATAAGAAATAAAATAACAGAACAATACAATACCGATAAATCCGGTGAAAGCTGGAATGATTCACGTCCAATGATGATGACGAAATAGAAACAGAAATAAAGAACAAGAGTAATATAGATTAATATTGTGAAATTAATAAAATGAGATGTTTGAAGAAGGAAGAAAATTGACGATAAAAGAACAGAAAGCTCCATTTATCATTGAGAGCTTCGCACCATTCTCAATTGCTATCTCAATAAATGTAATTAAATTATTTAATTATCCTCACCCCTCCGTGACAACAGAAAATCTTCTCGTCAATGATTGCGGCTATAGGCAGGCAGTTGAAGCAATCTGTGAAAGTCTTCCACAATTTAACATTGTAGCGACGTTTACATTCATCATAAAATCCTATAAGGGCGAAAATATGATTGAAAATTGAAAATGAGAGAAGGCATACAATAAATCGATTTACATATACGCAATACAAATAAAATTGAACGAGTAAAATTACCATAAATTCGATTTATGCTTGCACATTCATGATTTCCACGGAGCAAGAAGAAATTTTCAGGATATTTGATTTTATATGCGAGAAGAAGACAAATCGTTTCTAATGATTGCTTTCCTAAAATATAGACACACACAAAAAGAGAAAAAAACAAAAAGTAAGTACATAAATAATTGAAGAGAACAGAATGAGTGCGAGACATGAAATGAAATTATTTTTGGAACTTTTGTGGGAATGATTTTTACCTCTGTCGACATAATCGCCAAGAAAAAGGTAATTGGCAGTTGGAGGAAATCCTCCATACTCAAATAACCGTAATAAGTCTGTGTACTGTCCATGAATATCTCCACAAATTTTAAGCGGTGCTTCTAGCTCAAGTAGAATGGGTTGTTGGAGGAATATCTCGCGGGATTTCAGACAAAGTCCACGGACTTCCTGTTCAGTCATTTGCACCGGCCTGTTTGGTTTGTTGGTGCGAACTGGAAAAATGAAGTAACAGAAATAATCGTATTAATTGAATTATGTCAATAAACAACTAAACATCATAAACAAGCTACTTTAACTACTTCTAATAAATTTTATATCATAATTAATTTTACTTTCTTCATTATCATATGATTTAGTATCTAAATACTTATTGTAATAAATATGGATATACATTTACATAAAAATAAAAGAAAAACTGTGCAAAACTATCTCTCAATAAAAGTAACTATACAGCGGTAGCAAATAGCTTTTATCAGCGTATTTTCCCAAGGAACAATACGCTCATATGTTCACTTTGGCTGGCAGATAGGCAGGCTAGTACACTGAGATCTTGGCAATGAAAGCACATAAAGACTTTGGGATTTTAGTTGTGTGTTGTTGGATATGACTTTAATGCTACTGGATCTTTGTTGTTGGTGTTGGACATTATTGAAATTGTATTGACTCTTTGTTCTTGGTATTAGACATGAATTTAGTGCAACTGGATCTTTGCCTTCGGTTCAAGACTTTTATAATACTAGATCTTTATAAAAAAAATCGAGAAGGACTTATATAAAAACTGGCACGTAATATTATGGAACTGTTTAATTCTATGGAGGCAATGAGCCCTTATTTATGCAAGAAATAATTTTCATAAGCTTGTTATTGAAATTTAAATGTATGTCTCATAGATGAAACCAATGTTTTATGCAGTTTTATGCTTAATTTTTTTTTTTTCAAAAGGAGGTCCTTCAATAATTTCAATAATTCAAAAACTAATCGTTAAAGCTTTGCTACCCCTGTTTAATAATAAAAATCTATTGTATATACAGATAAATATGTATAAAAATTTCACGAGCGCATTAAAAATCGATCAATAGATAGATGATCATGCTATATTTCAAGCATTATTAATAGAGCAATTTTTTTCTTTCTTTCTTTCTTTTTTTTTTTCGCTGTTGTCAGAACGAAAAGCATGTTAAAAAGTCTGCTTTTTAAATCATTATGAAGCAGAGAGAATGAATCTTATTTACGTTATTGATCATAAACCTCAAACTGTTACTAAATTTAGAACTTTCTTCTCATTTCAAGCAGTTTTTTTTCTACATTAGTTGTTTGTTGTTGTTGCTACTGCCACAATTTGCTTTTTTTCGTTGATGATTTATTTGCTCTCATCATTTGGTCGAATGAACTTTTTTGGATAGAAATTTTTAATGAGATGAGATAAATGCAAGCAAAAAATTAGCAGCTCCTTAATCCCTTATTTCCTTCCTCGTTTTTTTTTGTTATTTATTCACTCATCCGTTTTGCTCTTAATTTTTATAACAATAAAATTAAAAAGACCTCAAAATCATCCGAAAAAAATCATTTCTATGCACATTTTAAAAGCAAGTTCGTAAACTGTAAATTTAATTTTGATTGACTGTGCACGTGATATCTCTGCATTTACAAGGTATATTCATTTCCATAAAGATTCTTGTAGATGTCAACAAGCTTATTATTGCTTTTGTAATCGTATTATTATGGAAGCGCAACCTTTGTAATTAGACAAGTTCTAGACTTTGGACTATTGAAGTATCGTAAGCCACAGGCACGTTTGCGGCATGGAGAATAACCCGTTACAAAATTTTAAAGCCGATTAGAAATATTAACTCATCACTCGATAGCAAAATCGCATACATTTGATAGTTCAATCCTGATTAAAATTTGTTTTGACACACACCGCATTTTTAAAGTTAAAAACAAAGCAAATAAGTTGGAATTCATTTATTACTATTTGGCTTTAGAATTTTACGACGCATGGCATGGATAAAACGGTTCATTCAAGAGTATAAAAAAAGAAAATTTTAATTGCGACTTTAAATTATTAGTTGAAGTACAAAAATGTGATATGAGAATGCGTGTATTAGTAGAAAATTAATATTTCATGAACATCACTTCAAGTTTCTTTGAGATGGGAAAGAGAAGAATACATGCAGAAATACACGCAACAATCGTAGTATCGTTAAGAATTGATATGGTGTCGACATGTAAAATTAATTGCCACAATTTTGCACGTTTTGTGTGAAAATGAAAACAATATCACACCTTTGATTATTATTACTATTATTTGCTATTTGACATATTCAATGTTATGCCATTTTATCTACAACGGAGAATTCTTCGTACTCAGTTCCTTTTCTACATGAATGAATCGGAACTAGTATACACTGGATATGACTTGTTCGACACATCTTTGAGTAAGTGAGCTTGTGAAATAAATAAATCAATTCTCTTCATATGTTTTGACAAACAGCTTGAGTATCATTTCTTCCTCTATCTCAATATTTTTTTTTTCTTCTTTCCTCATGTATATTTTTGATTTTCATCTTTCCTCATATTCCTCAGAATACATTAGCTCGTAATAAAAATAAATATATATAAATTAACATTGACATTGTAGGCTCTCTCTCCCTTTTCTCTGTGTTTGATGCAAATTAATTCATTTGCTCACGACTGTGTACTCTAGGCATCATGCATTTATGACGTCAAGCTTTTATGGTTCTATGAAAAGAACCGATGTTGTTTGACATTCATTGAAAGAATCTCTTCGATTAATGATAATTATTTGAAACATAGCTTAACAAGCCCATTCCATTCTGCTATCTACTAGTCGTCATACATAAATGACACCTTCTTCTACAAATACACGGAATATTATTGTACGGTAATAATAATAAACAATGACGAATTTTGTAGTCTCGTGCAAATGAAACGAGCAGAAGTAGATTCTTTTTTTATTATAAACATGATGATTATTATGACATTTTTAAAAATAATCCATTTCCATTGTATTTTTTCCTCCCTCGTCCGTTCACTCATTCACTTAAGCTCAATTGTAATGTCATTTGTTCTTTTTATACTTTTATTTTTTTTGGAGAAAACATATTAAATTTTCTTTCGTCACGATATTTATGATTTTTCATTTATCAAAAAAAAAAACTTTTCTTTCGTTTGAATAGTGGAAGGGAAAGGAATTAACAAGAGACACCGTTTAGATTGACACGAATGATAAAAACGCTTTGGAATGTTGAAAACTCCATACTAATATTTCTGAAAATCGTTTTTTTTTTAAATTTTCTAATTACTTCGCCTTTTGAAGTAAAAGCTGTTTGGGCTATGATTCATTTCTTTCAGATCTCTTTGAGCATCCAAATGGCATGGACAAAAAGAGAATTAGAATAGCACTTTGTTTCATAAAATGCGCTAGGATATGAAAAATGAAAAGAGTAAAAAGAAATGAAAGGAGCAAATAGCACTACAATACACACATTTGGTGTAGAGGCCATGACGAAAGCAACGTATGAAATCGTTTTATATATATAAAGAAAGACGCGCTGTAAACATGTGAAAATCATTTGATTCACTCATACCCTTTGTTAATGTAGGTGTTTACAATTTGACACCCCCAATCCGTATTATAACACATCATACTAAATTTATCATCACGCGTAAAGCTTTTCACATTTCTCTTTCATTCGTCTTCACTTTTTCTTTCTTTGCTTTTGCTTTTCTTTTTTCTTTGAAGAGCTTTAGGGCGGTGGTAGCGACGATATTGAATCAAAAAGGATACAAATTAAAAGACCTTGCCTATTCCCATTCCTCGCAACTTTTTCTAGTTTAATTGACCGCAGATGTTTTCATTCATTTTTCTTCTTATTCATTGTTTATATAGTCAAATAGATGGAGTGTTTGCTTAATAGTTTGTTTTAGGGTTTTGCGATTAGTCATCAGAAAGGAAAACGTTTTCATTTACGTAAGTTACTCTATGAATCTATTTCTGCGCTCAAAATCTACTTTAATTGGAATTTCTTTTCCATGAGAGTAAAAATTGGTGCGATAAAAATAACAGCTATAAAAAATTATAAACTACTGTTTTCCTCGCCTTACGAGGAAAGTATAAAAAGTGAAGCGAGAAAAAAAATTAAAGAAAAGAGAAAGAGAGAAAGAAAATGAATTGTTTCTTTAATGAAAACAGCTACCCAACATGCAATTTCATACTCAAAAAAAAGAAGCTAAAAGTGCTCTTAGAGCATTTGAGCTAAAAAGCTAATTAAACTATGTAGTAGAGACTGTTAAAATAATTAATTCACCCTGTGTGAAAAACCCTTTTTTCTTATCCTCGTTTTGTGATGGTACTTAATGTTTTTCAATATTTAAAATGATTTTATTTTAAATTGGTAGTCATAATTTGTGACAAGATATAGTTTGGATTTTTGCGAATATAAGCAGCAAGAAAATAGAAAAAAATATTAAAAGAAAGAAAAGAATGAGAAAATTAGGAGATAATGTCAAAATGCATTAATTTATGTAGTAGTTGTTGTTGTTGTTGTTTTTCATAATTACTTAATTTTTAAACTTTTTAACAAATAAAAGAAAAAGGTTGTTGAATAAATATCGAATGAAATACATTTTAAGGAAGGAAAATTTGTTAAAATCAATAAAAGTATCGGAAAATTGACATTGAAATGAGACGAAATGAGTTATCAAAAATAAATCATAAGAGGAACTCTTGGCTTTCTCACTGAAAAACACACACGAAAATTTTTCATTCTTATTGTGAATGTGTCCAAAAGATGGAAAATAAAGAAAAGTCTTTTTCGTCACACTAAATTACTCATTCGCTAATTCAATTGATCAAAAAAAAAGTAACATAATAAAGAAGAAAATTAAGGAAAATTCACGTTATAAAAATATTGCAAAATTTTTTTTTTACTTTCTGAAAGTCTGGCTATTATTGAATCTATATCCAAATGCTCCATTTCTGCGTATTCTTCACTATTTACTTATCCTCTGATGTTGTTTTAATTATTTTAACCACTTTTTAAGTATCACTAACGCTTTAAAACACTTTTATTTTAATTAATAAAAAATTCACTTTTTATGTCTCGCAATTTTCTCGACTTACAGTTTCTCTCAAAATTTGATGCACACGGTGTATACTGTATTTATATAAATCTTGAAAGTTCGTTGAAAATAAAATTGCAACTAAGGTTGTCTTGATTATTAAAAGGTTTCATTTGATAGCAGTAATTATCTTTAACACCTTTTATAAATTCCTAAGACTTAAAAGTTTTATATAGCACTTCAGATAATCACAATCGTTAAATACACGTGCTAGCCTAACGTTCTTTAATTTAAAATTGCTTGGTCTATTATAACATAATTAAATTTCAAATATTTTTCTATCGTTAATATTTTGGGTCTTTAAAAAATAATGTTTATAGAAATTTTCTTATAAACTACAAATTGATTTGCTGTGAAAATGAATTAAAGTTAAAGTAAATTAATCAATAGTCAATGTTTATTTGATCCAGCTTGCGATCTATTCCTCAAAAATAGTAAATTTTCACACTTTGCTTTTGATCCTTATAATAATTTTCGGGAATATTTTGCAAATTTATTAAAGTTTGTTTATTTACAAAAGTTTTAAAAGAAATTGTATTTAAAAGCTGTGAAATAGGTAGCAAAAAATGTTTTAGAACATATCTAAACTAGTCAATTGAATATAAAATTGTTGAGTATACAAGCGTATACTTAAGACGGAATTGAATTCTCGCAAGGAATTTTAACAAAACGTACACAAAATTTTTTTTCTTATTTAAAATCCTTAAAATACTACAATTAACAGCTTTAAAATATCATAAATCTGTTGATAAACAATCATTTCATTAATTGCAGGTGTTCAATTCATCGAAAAGTATCGATTTTATAGGAAAAAGTAGGTTTGAATATTTTTTCAAGTATGGAAGTAGAAGAAGAAGCCGTCAAACGAACGAGTGTTGAAAAAAGATCCAGCAGTGAGCGTCGGTTTAGTCGACGTCGTTCAAGAAGTAGATCAAGGAATCGAAGATATCAAAGAAGTGCATCAAGAAGTCGTTCTCCTAGCCCATTTAGGCGTTCTGGATTTCGTGGTGGCAATCGCAGGTAAATTTTGACCATACTTTATTCACTGGATCTATAAATAACAATAAATTATTGACAGGTTTATAAGACGTTCGCCATTTAGAGGTGGCAGGAACTTCCGTGATCGTTTTAGAAGAAGTCGTAGCACGTCGAGGTCTCGATTTGAACGCAAAGATAGACGACGTTATGAAGGAAGACGAGGATCAAGAAGTGAATCTCCGGAAAGGATTGACAATTATCGTCATCAACAGCAACAACAACAACAGCAGCAGCAACAACAACAAATGAATTATCCTAACGACCCATATAGCTATATGCAAAATGTAGTTCCTCCTCAAGCACCTAATTTTGGTGCAATGAATCAATTCAATAGTTATGATTTTCAGACAAATTATCCTCCACCAGCTCCAAACTTTAATATTTCATGTCCAGCACCTCCAGGTATTCACGGTGAGACTTGGATACAGCCTAGTATGCCATCAAATATGCCAATTTCTGAAGAATCGGAAGAGGAAAAAAAGAAGCGTGACGGTAATGCTTGTATACATTTAAGCTGAGCTAGATACTAATCATAAATTTTTCAAACAATAGCTGCAATTGCTGAAGAAAAGAAGAGACAACGTGAAGATTTAAAACGACAGCTGGATCAGTATATAAGCCGTGCTGAGAAAATGAAGAGAGAGCTAAAAGTATTAAAGGATCAAAAGTCTGACTTATTGGATGGCTTAGGAAAACGATCACCATCGCCAAAAACCAATGGATTCATCAAGGAAAATGAAAAACTTCAGGTAAATAATATATTTCATGTTTTAAGGTGTTACATTAGCATTATTTGCCATTTTCGGTGTGCTGAAAAAATCATTAAATGCACACAGATACATTTTTATGAAACTTCTCAAAAACTTGGTTGAGATTCTTGACTTTTAAGCACATTTTTGATCGTGTTCCTTGAATTAATATTAATATGTAGACGAGTCGCTAGGTTGACAAAAGTGTGCTTGCTTTTCGTGTTTAAACAAAGAAAATTATCGGTTAGCTTGATCTCGCCATGATTTTGAGATTCGGCACTTTTGAACCAACAAAAATTGCTTTTCTTTCTTTTTTAGTGGGTTTTAATAAGAAAATATTTCATGTGTGTTTGAATGCTCATTTTATTAATGATGATCGATCGATGAGGCTGACAAAAAATTATTTTTGAAGAAACTATTTTGTTCCTCTTAAATACAATGAGCATTAAATCATGAGTCGTTGGTTGAGGCTAAGGAATCCACATCAGAATTTGTATTTCATAAGATCAAAAGAATTGTTAAAGTTAAAAATTGTGAAAATTTCATGCAATAAGAACAGTTTGCTATAAGAGCACTAATTTTGCATGGAATTTCAAATAGGGCAATGACTGTAAAATTAGTTTTAAGTATGCAACGAGAGATAGTAGATCACCTATGAAGTCCTGGAAACCTGTTTTTCTGAGCAAATAGGAAGAGAAATATAATCGATAGTTATTATGATTCTTTATGAATATGAAAATGAAATATTTAAAGGTTTTGACACATAAATTTTTACACAATGAGTTCCTTCCTGAACGTAATTGTTGCTAACTAGAATGTTTTCTATAATTTCAGTCTCAAATCTCATCGAAATTGGCCGAGATACTTGATGTCATCGACATGCTGAACAAAATCATCAAGAAGGATTCAGATGAGGAGGAAGCTAGCAAGAAAAAGCCTAGTAAGCGATCTAGAAAATCAGAATCTGACGACTGTTCTCCTGAACGCATTAAAAATGAACTTTTGGAAAGCATGAAAAGGAAAAAGCAGGAAGCAGAAGAAAATAAAAAGGATAAAATTAATTATGTTTATTATGATACAGAAATTCATTGGTGTAAACATTGTCAAGTATTTCCAAAAACAGCAAAGGATTATTTGAGTCATTTACATTCAAAAGATCATCTCGATAAAATCGCTAATCGTAGCACAGAAGGTCCTTGGCGTGCCAGTTTTCAGAAATTGAATGAAGCTACTAATCATCCAGACGCACCTACTGAAAAAGTCCCAATTAAAGGACTTCAATTCTTCGAACCATCAATGGCTTGGTATTGTAAACTTTGTGAACTTTTTATGGGCGATTCATGGTGCGTTTCGTTGCATTTGAAAAGTGACATTCATGCTCAACGATATAATGTAAGCTACACGCTTAATAATCTTAATACATTTTTAATATTAATAATGTGCATTAATTTATATTACAGAAATTGATTGAACGAGAGCCTAAATTTGAAGAAAAATGGCTGGAAGCTCGTAACAAAGCTTATGAGTTATCAGGGGCAGTTGTCAACTCAGATCCAGCAGCAAACAATTCTAATGACAAACAAATTTCAGAATCAAACAATAGCAAAAAGGCGTCAGACAAAAAGATTAAAAAGAAGAAAAATAAAAAGGATAGTAAAAAAAAGCGTAAACATGGCAAAAAACGCAAACGTGGTTCCTCGTCATCTTCCAGTGATTCTGAGGATAATTCTGACTCAAGTTCAGGATCTGACACTAGCTCAAAAAAGATTGAAAGTGATCATGCTGATAAAAATTCAATTAGAGTTGCAATGAGAAATATTCTTAATAAAGGTTCAGCAGCTGAAAATGACGAAAAATCTGGCAAATGGACGATGATTCCGATAGATTCAAATAAGCCACAAGTTCCACCGGCACCAACAATTTCCGCGCATGGTGCTAAAGAGAATAAAAAGGATGAACAAATAATTGGACAATGGAGTACAGTTGAGCCAATAATTTCTCAAGAGGAAAAACGTTTATTAGAGAATTTAAAAGGACGTTTGAAGACAAATCAAAAACAAGAATCAACTGAAAAGGATAAGCAACAAATTGTCGAGAAGAAGGATACAATTAAAGAAAAAGAAAAGGATAGAGATCGCGATAGAGAGAGATTAAGAAGTCGTAGCAGGGACAGAAATCGAAGTGATAGGAATTATCGTGGTCGAAAAAGTCGTTCTCGATCAAAATCAAGGTCAAGGTCACCAAGAAATCGAAATAGAGATCACAGATATCGACGTCGTTATTCAAGATCTAGATCACCTAAACCATCAAAATATGAGAAGTCATCACTTAATTTCCCTGCTGAACCTAAATTACCACCATTAAAGGACGAAAAGAAGCTACCATCTCGTTCTTATAATTCTTCAACGAAAAAAGACGATTCATCGTCCTCAAGTGTTGCTAATGCTTCAAAGAAAATGCCATTTATTGGAAAGATGCCTGTATTTAAAAAGCAAATGATTGAGAAGAAAATCGAAGACCAGCAAGAGCCAGAAAAGAAGGAAGATAAAACTACTGACAAAGAAAAGTTTGATGAAAAGGCAAAGAATTCAAATGAGAAATGGGACGATTTAATGCCTGATCCATTACAGTTTTCTGCAATGATGAATTCAGTTTCTAATCAACAATCTCAAATTCAAGTACAACCGCCTATGCGAAATGATGAAACGGAAGTTCCACCTGGATTAGATCCTGATTCTGATTATCCAAAACCAATTAGTGACGCGCCACCTTTAAAAACGGGTCCATTACCAAAAGATTTTCAAGAAACTTTAGATTTATTATTTGATGGTGATTTGTGCAGGAAAGTCATAGAAACTCCACCAATTGAAGTTCCACAACCCGAAATTCAGCCTATAATTCAGCCAACTGACGGTCCACAAATGATATTGCCAGAAGAGCTCTCACAGCATGCAATTTTGTACGGTAATTTCTTTCCACAATCCACAAATATTCAGCCAGTTCCACCACCACCACCAATGACTGAAAAATTACCAGAAACTGATGGTGATCAAAATGAAAGCATAGATATGATTGACGAAGAACCGACTGACAAGTTTGGAAAAAGTCAAGAAGACATAGACGATCTTGCATTATTGGGAATCGACGTTAATGATGTAGGAAGTGGATTGTGGTAAATTGTTTAAAAATCGTTTAGTCAGTATCAGTAAGAGTGTTATCAATAATTTTTGTTCTAAAGTCCTATCCAATTAAATTTGCAAACTTAATCACACATTTTGACTCAATAAAAACTCTTTTCAGTACATCAATATAACAAAGTTACTTTATTTTGGTTCCTTCAATCCCACCTCGTCTTGTTTGCCGGTTAAAACTTCTTTAATTTCATTCATAGTATGAAGCAGATAAATCGGAACATGATCGTGAAACTTTTGAAATAGACATTCGCCTTCAAATGTCAAAAGTCCATATTTCCGTGCTCGCAAAAGAAGTCCGACAACCTTGTTACTAATATTTACATAAATATTAAAAATATCTCGAAAAGAAATGAATCGTAGGTCTGGATTTTCTTCAGTTGGACTTCCTTCATCGTGAATAATTTGACATAGTTCTAACATTTCTTTATAGACATGAACATTGGCTTTTTTTCCTCGAAACTCTGTCAGTGAGCCTGCTTTTGGTCTGCAAATAATTTGTTTTTATTAAGGATCATATTGAACGAATAAGATTTTACCGTCCATATTCTTCTGGTTTCAATTCCTTCGGATTTTTCATTGCATATGAACCACTAAATGGATTTTCAGCTTGCTTTTCCTTTTTATCGGTTACTTTCTTGTTGAACTTGTCTACTTTTGATGATAAAGAAGAATCCTGTGTGATCGAGAAAACAAAATGAAAATCATTGCTATGCGTATATCCAACAAATTTTCTCAGAGAGGAAAATTTCTTCTACTTTGCTTCTTTGCAATTATGAAAATCTGTTAAAAATGTAACTCAACACTTCATACCACCACAAACTTTAAAGCATTCAACTCGTGATCTTTATCTGCCATTCTTATGGATTTCAACTTTAATAATTGGATTGTTGATAGTCAATAGGCTTTAATTAATATTTCAAATTACCACGAATAAAAAAACGAAAAGCTTTTTCGTGATCTCTCAAATTTCATTTCTACACAACCTTTACATGTTCGTGCTAAGTTTTTTGCAAAAGCTGCATTCCAATTTCGTCTGATTAAGCATTCCAAATAACGCAATTCATCTTCCGCTCATCAGCAGACAAGTCAATGATTTAAGAGAATTAAAATATTAATTAAATGATATTATATTAGCAGCTATCTTAATTCTCAGACTTGTGATAAGTTTTTATCAAAGAACATTGACAATCTTATCAAGATAGGCACTGAAATTTGGAAGGAAAGGAACAGAAAATAGTGTTTTGCTGTGAAACATTCGGGAAGGTCGCACAAAATAATAATTAAAATGGTTTTAAGTACTCTAGAAAGGGTTTTTGGTAATAGAAATGCACTCGTGGACGTTTTAGCAGTATTTTTTGGAATTGGATCATGGATTGGAATCAATGCTTTATGGGTTCAGCTACCTCTACTAGTAAATGTCTTGCCTGAATTCTGGTATCTTGCATCATATTTAGTGATAATAATTCAAATTGCGAATATTGGACCTTTAGCATATACGCTTATACAAAAATATTGTCCTATACCTGACAACATCATAATTTACTTTTTATTGACAATTGGAGTCGTTAGTGGAGGATTTATTCCATTCTTTTACGATGTTACTGTGTATTTTTTAAGTAGTGACCGATCATTACTATTCTTCATATTTACATTCTGTTTTGCATTAGTTGGATGTACTTCTTCAGTGCTCTTTATGCCATACTTTGGACGCTTTCGAGGAATTTATCTTATAACTTATTTAATTGGCGAAGGATTGTCTGGATTAGTACCTAGCATATTAGGCTTAATTCAAGGAGTTGGAGGAAATGCACAATGTGAAGTAATTGGTGATGATATTGTTCCTTACTTTCCACCGCCTCGATTTTCAACTCAAACATTCTTCATAATTATTTTTTCACTTCTTGTGGCTAGTCTTTTAGCATTTATTCTCCTTGATAGACTTAAATCAGTGCGTGATGAATATGCTAATGTAAAGATATTGAATGGAAACAATTATCAGTATGATGAAAGTTCAATGACCTCAGATCCAACATTAAATGAAACTGTTAATTTATCAACAATCAATTACAGAGGACTTCTAGTGTATATTGGATTATTGTGCATGTTTGTAAATGCAATTGTTCCTTCTATTATGCCATTTTCAACTCTTCCTTACGGGAACGTGACTTATCATCTTGCAATCACTTTATCACTCATGGCCAATCCCATTGCATGCTTCATTGCAATGTTCGTGAAAAAGAATTCGGTTAATCACATTTTTATAGTCTCGATTATATTTCTACCATTTCTGTCTTATGCAATAACCACAGCTGTTCTGTCGCCTGCTCCACCTTTAACTGAAAACACTTTCGGGGAATTTCTGGTTGTAAGTATTGCATTAATGCATTAACTTTATAGTTTTTAATAAATATTACATTTTAGATTACTAGCTGGACTCTAGTTATTGGACTGGCTTCATATATTCGTCTGAAAATCACTACAATGTTCCGATTAAAAGGTGGAAAAAGTCTAGTATGGATAGGCGTATCGACACAAATAGGAAGTTTTGTTGGATCAGTAGTATCATTTTTATTGACCAATTATACTGGAATTTTCGTCTCATTCCAACCATGCTGATTTAAATATTCAAATAAATGCATGCACATGTGTTACATAAACAACTGGCTAGTCCATGTTTTAATGCTTTTTTTCATAGAAAGCAGGAAGAGGTATAGTAGTAGAATAAATTCTGTTAAGCTCTGTTTTGTAAGATTTGAGCAAATGTTATGCCATAAATTTACTTACTGCCAAAAACCAGTTTACTTATTGGCGCTTACAAAATTTCAGTTGCCGTCTAACGAATACAATAGGAAACCCAATAACCTATGATATAATAACAGCTGATCCATACAGCAAACAAAAAAGCAGCATAAAAGTTGTCTTGCATACAATACGTTTTAAAGGTCATCTACATTTTTTTCAGACTCTATATACTGTACTTTCACTTTCAGTGTAGGAATTTTTCTATTTCTTTATCCCACCTATGAATGCTTGAAAGATCAGAAATGTTTCTTTCTGGTTTTCTTTTCGTTCCAACAGAACTTGAAAAGTTGTTATTACGTTATTAAATCACAGACGCAGTTTATTAATAATAGTATTTATAGATTCATAATACCTAAAACCAAGACAATAAGATCCATCCATTCAATTTGCAACCCATCCAACAAATTATTGAATGCCCCAGTTTCAGAAATCTGTATCAATAAGGCTGACAATGGAGATCAAAAGTGTGAACATGCCTCTTTAATGACAGTAACAATAAGAAAAGAAACAAAACCTGAATAGTGACCATGAAAAAATATGATTACTCATGAAACAGTTAAAACTAATACATGTGCAGTTAGGAATGTACATAATATCCATCTGTTATCATCTATACACGTGAACTTTTTGCTTGCTGATAAGCACCTTAAAGGAAAAACGGAAAAATGCGAAAATTTAAATGCTAGAATGAATGTGTAGAAGTCGAATTAAATCAAGAGAGGGGAGCTTGACACAGAGAAAAACTGGCATAAAATTGATTACATGCTGCTGATTTGAACGCATTTTATGTGCTGTCTGGAATGATTCCAATAATTTGGAATCATTTGCTAGAATTTTTCAAGATTGAATTTCCCTCAAAAAAATCCTCACAGCCTTTAGTCTTCCTGTTCTTACTGTTTTTAACATTTATCAAGTTTCAATTTTTATTTTTTGTTTAAAAACTAGGTTCGATTTAAAATCGAATTTTGCACTACAAAAATTATATACTTCACAAGATTAATCAGAAAAGTATGTTGGACAAAGAGGAAGGTTTTGCTGTCGAAATATGTGCTACAATATAAATAAAGAGCCGAAAATACATAGAAATAAAATTTCAAGTTTTCTTAAGAGGCAAATCAAGCTTTTTAAGCAGTTATGGCAATATTGGATATTTCTGTGGAATCGCTGTTCAGTTAGTTATAACTTTCACTCGTAACAAAACAGATCGATCGAAGACAATATTATTGAAGCTTAATTTTGTGTTATTGCTCTTTACGTGGCTTATTTATTCACACATATTATAACTAAGGAATTTTGTTTTGTGTTGATAAAAAGTTTTATATTATTTTGTTATTTAATATCACATCCATCGCGCTTAGATAGATAACAGTGTAAATCGTGCCAAGATGACGAAGATCGATTTAGATGCAATTTTCGAGAATTTAAAGGAAAAATTAATTAGATATGGACAAGAACATTTATTTAAATATTGGGATGAGCTGACTGATGATCAAAAAAAGACCCTTATTCGTGATATTGATGAAATTAATTTAGAGGAAGTGCAATCATTCTTTAAGAGAGCAACATCGTCGTTGGAAGAAAGTGCAAAAAAATTAGACGATAGAATGGAACCAATACCTGAATCTACTTTTATGTCTACAAGTCGAACGAGTGAAGAAAAATTGAAAGTTTACGAGAATGAAGGTAAGAGAGCAAATTATGCAATAAAATAAATGCTGCAGTCAGAGTTGGAAGCATGCATGCTTCTACAGCCTTTTTAATAATCAATGGCTCAAAGAGTTTTAATTCAATTATTTCTTAGGCCTTACTCATATTGCGAATAATCGTGTCGGCGTGCTGTTAATGGCTGGAGGTCAGGGAACTCGTTTGGGCTCGACAAACCCAAAAGGAATGTTTGACATTAAATTACCTTCGAGAAAGTCACTATTTCGTGTTCAAGGAGAAAGAATTCGTAAATTGCAGGAACTTGCTAAGAATCATACAGGATTAGATGGACACATTGTTTGGTATATTATGACTAGTGAACATACAATGGAACCGACTCAAAAATACTTTAGAGATAATAATTATTTTGGGCTTCAAAAGGATAATATTGAGTTCTTTGAGCAAGGCAGTTTACCTTGTTTTGACTTTGATGGAAAGATATTACTAGATGAGAAACATCGCATCGCCAAGGCACCCGATGGAAATGGTAACTGTCTATTTTTGTCTTGAACTTTATTATTTTCTTATATTTATTCATGAATATTTTTATTTTTTTTAATACCATTTGACATTTAGGAGGACTTTATCGTGCTCTTAGAGACAGAGGCATTTTAGCAGATATGAATCGTCGCAAAGTACAATATCTCCATGCTCATAGTGTTGACAATATTCTTATTAAAGTAGCTGATCCAATTTTTATTGGCTATTGTGCTAAGCAAAATGCTGACTGTGCGGCGAAAGTTGTTGAGAAATCACATCCAAATGAAGCTGTAGGAGTCGTATGTATGGTTGATGGACGTTATCAAGTTGTAGAATATTCAGAAATTACTCAAAAAACTGCCGAGATGAAGAATGATGATGGACGGTTGAAATTTAATGCTGGCAATATTTGCAACCACTACTTCCATGCTGATTTTCTTAACAAAATTGGATCAACTTATGAAAAGGAACTTAAACTTCATGTTGCTCAGAAAAAGATCCCACACGTCGATAGTACTGGTCTCCGAGTTACTCCTGAAAAAGTCAATGGAATTAAGATTGAAAAATTTGTGTTTGATGTCTTTGAGTTTGCAGAAAATTTTGTAAGCGTCGAAGTAGCAAGAGATGTCGAGTTTAGTGCATTAAAGAATGCTGACAGTGCAGGAAAAGATTGTGAATCGACAGCTAGAAAAGACATTTTTAATCTTCATAGACGTTATATAGAAAAAGCTGGAGGAAAATTAACTGATCAAGTGCAGGAAATAGAAATCTCTCCATTAATTTCTTATGCTGGAGAGAATTTAGAACCTTTAGTCAAGGGAAAAGTTTTTGATACAACAACCGTGCATTTAATGTGTCCTAGTGAGATTCCCATTAAAAATGGTCACTTGTAAAAGAGGAATTTTAAAAATTCAGACACATTCCTAAACCTTTTTGGGCACCTTAAATTTAATTCGCTCACTTCGTTCCAATGCTCCACAATGTGACCGCGAATTTGGTTACGTAAAAAATTATTTTGTTGCAATTCTCTCTCTTTCGTCTATTCATTCATATAAATAAATAGGAAGTGCCGTCAACAAGAAATAACTGCACAAGCGAAAAAAATTAATACGTTTAGGCATGAGTGAAGCACACCTTTTTTTCTACCTACCAACTTTAACATAGTAAGAAAGTTTAATAATAAAGCATAGAAAAATTTGTGATTAATACGCGGGCGACAGATGAGAATGAGTCGGGAAACGCTGGAACTTAAGATATTAGTTTAAACAAATATTTTTAAGGATTTTTTAAGTTTACATCACAAAATTTAATTTTTATTTAAAAAGAAAGAGAGACAGAGAGAAATCTCATTATTTATTTATGTCTTTTTGGATAGTTTACTAAACTTTGATCTGACTTGTACTTGTTTGGAACGAAATTGATCAGAAAAGTTTTTATTATTTTTTATATTACCATTATCATTAAATTTATTATTATTACTATTACTGTTACATGTACAGATAAAATAAAAGTTGTTACGAATTATTCACGTTTCCGCAATGAATGTCAAAAAATAAATAAAATGATAAGAGAAGAAGGAATAAAGTGTATGAATGATTTGAAGCAAGCAAATAAATAAAATTCTGGTGTTGGTTTTCTGAGTAAATTTCACTTGTTTGATTTTGGCTGTTTTCGATTGAAAAGTTTGATAAACTTTGTCTTGTTCAATATTGTTTTTCAGAGTTACTTTTATCATGCTACTCATAAACGCTACACACGTGTTGAATAATTTTTTAACGGTTTTCATCAATGACGATTGAACAGTTTATTACAGTTCAATTGTGTATGAATACTCCCAAGAATTTGATATCGCAGCTTAATTCAGAAATATGACTCAAAATTCATCATATTTTAATTTTGAAAAGTTATAAAAGAATTTTTATTTAACTATACTCAAAAATGCATGCTCAATTTCATGTTTGATAAAACCTTATTCTAAATGTCGGAACCCATTTCATCCAGATAAAAGAGTTATTTTTAATTAAAGTATATTAATTTCAATATCTTTCTTCTTAATCCTTGTGTTTTATAATCCATACATCTTCATCGTTCAAGGGTCCGATGTACGTTTTTTTAGGATTTTTGATTAACGGAATAAAATAAATTGAATTTTTCACTAATACTATCTTACAAAACATCAAAAATTAAATTCTCAATATTCTTGATTATTCAATCATTAATCCAAAATATTAAGATTTGAATAACAAAGGTAGATAATATATTAGCTGCTCTGACTGTTTTAACAGCTTTTAAATCATTATTGAGTGTTAATTTCGTGACTTCTCAAATTTTATTTTTGATTTTGTTTGTAAACAAACAAATTATAACCGAAAATATTCAAAAAAAATAGAACCGTTAAAATTTTTTCAACTTTATTTGGTTCGTTCAAGTATGTTTCCAGGACAATTTACAAAGTTTTTTGAATTTAAACAAAAGGGGATAAAATTTCTGTTCCAATAAAATACATTTGAAGAAAGATCAATAAAAGCTGTCAAAGTTAAAGCAAAATTCTCAAAAATTATTTGTGAGTGTCGCTTAATTAAAGTGATTTTCCGAAATAACTGCTTAACTTTAGGAAATGAATTATATGTCAAAAGATAGGAATTTTGGTTTTCTATAAGAAGAAATAACTTTAAAATTTTTCAGTATTGTGGTTTCGGAGATATTTAAGAAAAAAAAATTTTTTTTCGTCTGGGCACATTACTATGTTGAAATACCTAAGTGAAACTCTATAAAAATAAACAGTTCTTTACATATTTCACAAAATTCGTATGCATTTTACGCGCTTTTATTTATTTATTAGTTAACTTTTCAAAAAATCTCAAAAATTAATTCATATCAAATTGTGTAAGTTGCATGTCTATTTCATTCCATGTTTATTTGCTCGATGTACCTTTAGCTGCAAAGAATTATACAATCATAAATAGATAGATTCAGAAATGAGAAAGGTCTTACCTGATGATTAGTCGTGAAGCTTGATGAGCATTCTGAACAATGATAATCCTTTTTTCCTAAATGACTATTTTGATGGCGTTTAAGTGCTACTTTAGTAAAGAAGCTTTTGTCAGGACATAAATTACACTTAAATACCCTCTTTGTCTCATCATGATAAATCATGTGCTTACTTAACAATATTTTGGTTCTAAAGACTTTGTGGCATATTTGACAAGGAGTTTCTTGAATACGATGAGTATTTCGCATGTGATCAAAAAGAGAGCGACGTGTTGGACAGATTTTTGAGCAGACATGACATTGAAAAATTGCTCCTTCTGATCCAATTCGATGAACATTTCTTTTATGCATTCTATAGCCAACCATTGATTGAAATTCTTTGCCACATAATTCACAAACAGCACTTCCAGGAAAGACATTAAGACCTGATGTTGCGATCTTTTCCCCAGAGCTGGTCGTGTAATTTCGTGTATCATGAAAAAGTTTATGAATTGTATAGCCTTTGAGATTATTGCAAACTTTGTGACATATTTCACATTCTATTGGCTGATTATTTGTCTGTTTGTTACAGTTTCGTCTATGAACTTTAAACTGATTCAAAGTGGTAATTAAAACTGTTTTGCAAATTGGACAGTAATGCTGAGATATTGGCAATTCATGGTGAAAATTTGATATGTGACTATTATAAAGATGGACTTTGTTAAATGTTTTATCACATTTATCACATTTTATTTCAGAAATCGGACATTTATGAGCTACATATGTCTTCTTTCCTGCAAACTTCATTTTGCAGAAGAAACATTCGAAAATCTTGAAACAAAATCGATTTCTTTCTGGATTCTTAATTATATCATCAACAGATACGTCCTCATATTCATCGACTCCGTGAATTGAATTCTCTTTTGATTTGTCCAATTCCAAAGAATAATCTAATGACTTTTGACTTAATTGAAGGGGTGTAATAGAAACGACAACTTCTTGATCGATTAATTCTTCTTCGTTTTTTAAATGCTGTTCTTCAGAAAATGGGATTTCCTCAATATATTCGATTTGGTACAACGGTATTTCTTCTCCTAATTCAAACTCTTGTTTAATTAATTCCTCATTGTCATCGACTAAATGCTCCTCAATTACTTCAAGTGTTGTGTCTTCAACAATTAGTTCTGTTTCATCGCAGAAAATATCATCGTCAACAAATTCTTTTGAATTCGTCAGTTCCATTACTTTTCGATCAAACTGCTGAAGCTCATCTAATATTTCTTGCTGGATCTCTTTACATTTCTTTTTAAAGTTATCAAAGTCCACAATTAGTTGAAAACATTGTTCACATACTATGTCACTAAAAAGGTCATGATTTTCAACATCGAGTCCAAGGAGTTGCATTAATTCATTAATATTAATTGAGTAAGTCTCTAATTTTACTATTTGTACGAGTTTAGATTCGTCACTCTGACTGCACATACAGAATCTACACAATGTTTTTAATTCACTAATTTTGTCTTGTTTTCTTTTAAGAATCGATTTTTTATCCTCCTGATCAACTCTAATGGAATTGATTAATGTAAAATCATTCTCATCATAGCAATTTGTCGCCTCATTATACTTAATTTCGAACTTTTGTAATCCAGCACTCGTCTGTTTGTAAATGATGGTTGGAATTGCATCTTTTTTAAGCCAAACCCTCTTGTTTTTTCTTTGAAAGCAGGCTGTTGTAAAGTGGTCCTCGCAAATGACTGATGATCCTGATTCAATTAATGGCTTATTAGCTGTATTAATTGATTAAAGTCATTAAAATTATAAATTACCTTTTATATCATAATCTTTTTTTTGAGTGAATTCTTTCCATAAATTTCGTCGAGTTGTTTCATTTGGAAATCTAAAGAAATGCTTCGATCCACGTGAAAAGCGATTATGACAATTAATAACTGAACATCCACCCATATTTTGCACACTTCTTTTTAACTTTTAACTCATTTAATTAAGTTAAATTTCAAAAAAAAAATTATTTTTCAATTTCTGGTTTGTTTACGTTTTTAGCTTAAAAGTTTTGCCTTTAAAAATAAAATTGCCTTTTGTTTGACTGTCTGTCTATTTTATAAACTTTTTGTGATTATAAATCTACAGTTATTAATTTTAAAAGCAAGTGGCATAAGAGGTAATGATATTTTAAAAATTTAAAGAAGTAAATAGAGACAAGACATATCAAAATTAATGCGTTGCAAACAAATTACTTTTTGAACCTTGACTTACTGACTGCTGAATTCAGCTATGCTGTGATTGTTTTGGTCACTAAAACATCGATAAATCGAATGGAAAAAGAAATCAAGCGAAATTCAAAATTTAATTTTTATTAAATTCATCCTAAATAGTGTATAATATGGATAAGTTCCGTCGTGAATGTCCAGTGCTTAACTGTCCATCGATATCTAATGAAGATAATGTTATATTTTTCCGCTTCCCGATGGACTGTCAAGGGAAATTGGTAAAGTTGTGGAACCTATTCACTCGAATTAAAGGCTTCAAACCAATCACCTCGGAAGCTCTCTGTCAGAAACATTTTTTGCCCGAACAAATTAAGATTAATAAGAAGGGACGACCATATTTGCAGAAAAATACAGTTCCGACAATATATTACAGAAACGAAGAAAAAATTGTGGTAAGCCTTACTGGATTTGAAATTACTGTATGAATACAGTTGCTTAAACATACGTGATTACAATTTTATTAATTAACTTTTACAGGTTCAATACGATCCAAACATTATGCAATATGTAGGATATGAAGCAGAAATGATGTTACAAGAAATTGAAAGGGATGCTTTTGACGAAGAAAAGGAATTACTTAAAAAACGGTATGAAAAAGTCAAGTTGATCAAAAATCTCTGTCGATTCTGTTTCTCAAATGAAAAGGATGTAAAATGCGTCGCAATGAGCAAACTTCAGACATATTCAATTGACATAGCAGAAATGATTAGCATTCTTGGAATTGATCAGGAATATAGTGAAGCATTTAACGACATAGTATGTGCAAACTGCTTTGATCGACTGATTGAGTTTTCAAACTATAGGAAGAGATGCCAAACAGCACAAAAAGATCTCATTTTATCAATGCAAGATCTCGATAGAAAGATTTTAGAAGCTCAGCAGCTACAGCGTTATCAAAGAAATCCATCCTCAAATTGGCTTAAAGTGGAACTACAGGATGATGATCAAATGGATTACAATTTCTACGATGCAGACACGGATAAAGAGGAAGAAGAGGAAACTCATGATACTACAGACGATTTTATTGATACAACAGAGCATTATTTAGAAGAAGATACAGACGACGAAAAAACGCAAGAATATTTTGAGGAAGTAGATGTAAATGAAGATTCACAAAAGGAATCTCAACGTTTAAATCTATTCGAAATAACAATTAAGAATGAACCTCATGACTCTGATGAACATGCACATGTCGAGAATAAACCAAGGGTAAGTACAAGAAAGCGTAAACAAGTTGAGGAGAAAAAGGAAGAGCCATCACCGTCAACTAGCAAAAAGAAGAAAACAATCAACAAAAAGGAGCAAAAAATGGTCAAAAAAGAGATTCCAAAGACACCAAATCAAGTGATAAGTCCATCAGTCGTTAAAGGAATCGATAATTTCAAAAATAAACCTTTTGGAAGTAGGAAGAAAATTCACGAATGCTTCTTTTGTCGAGAGAAGTTTGTTGGTAAGAAGACATACAAGACTCATAATTGTCCAAATAAGAGAATCAAATGTGAAGTCGAAGGATGTGATTTATATTTTGTGAATCAAGGCGGCTACAATATTCATATTCAGAGAAAACACGCATTACCGAAAGTATCTCGACATTTGTGTCCAGTGTGTAGGACAAATTATCAAATGAGTGCAGCTCAGTACGATGAACATTGTAAGCGATGTCTTGAAGCAAATGAGTATCGAGAGCAGCCAATTAAATGCGATAAATGTAAGAAAATTTTCGGTACTCTACAAAGTTATACAGCACACATTCAATTCCATGATGATGAAAGCTTGAAAAAAGCCAGTGAATTATTGGTACAAGGTTCTGATGGAAAAGCTAGGAAAGCTGAAATCTTTCATATGTGTGATCTTTGTGGACGTGTATTCAGAGACAGCTATGGATTAAGAAGACATCAATCGGACGTTCACTATTTAGATTTTACTGGTGAAATGTTCTATTGTGATTTGTGTCCAATTGCTAAGCCTACAAAGCGATTACTTTATAATCACATGAAATCTACACACATTATTCGTTGGCACTCTTGTGAAATTTGTGGTAAAGTTTTTAAGAACCGCGAATTATGGAGAAAGCATCAACTTGTTCATGGAGATTTCAAAAAGAATAATCTTTGTGATTATTGTCCACACAGGCCAGGCTTTGTAACAAATACAGCTTTGAGAAAACATTTAGCTAAGCATCACGGTGGGGCTGAGCCTGTTCGCAAGTTTGTATGCGATATACCTCATTGTGGAGCAGCTTATTCAAGAGATGATCAACTGACAAGACATCGCGTTAATGTACATCAGATTTATCACAATAACTATAATGAAAGCATTATACAGCACTATGTAAATGGTTAAATTATTTATTTGTTCACACTCAAGCCACGACATTGATGGCATCAATTTCTGAAAATGTAGAAACTCTTTTCGCTAAAATTTAATTGAATAAAGTTGAATATGATATTTAAATTTGTCAACGGTTTTTTGAAATTTAAATCGCAGGAAATGATCCAGAAAAATGCCGACGAGCAATTCATGTCAGTGATGTTTATTCACTTCTGTAAATAAAAAATATCAAAATTTGGTTAAAGTAAAATGGAAATTAATTCATTGCTGAAAAACTGGGAATCTAAAGGAAAAACAGAATTGTAAGTATGATTAATATACGCATAGCAATGTGTATTGTAGGATAATAATGGATATAGCTTGAAAACTGATTTAAAATTGATAAAAATATACCCGAAAAATATATCATGGCTTCTTTTAAAAATTTATTTCACTAAATCTTCAGTTTTAAGCAAATTAAAAGCTTCATCAAAGAAGATGAAAGTCTATTACTGGTCAAGAAATCTAAAAGTATAGATGTAAGCAGAATAATTTATGACTTAATCGTCGGCGGTATCAGAGGTGATATTAAGAAAGATGCCTTATTATCAGCACTCACAGAACTTACTGTAAGTTACAAATAAAAATCTTTAAATAACTTATTCTTCTCATTTGAGCATATTTTATTGATTTGCAGTGTTTACATAAGGACATACCATCAATCACCGTTGATGTATTTCAAGTCTTGGATACAGAGACACAGCTTCAAAATGATTATTCGGTAAAAGAAAGGAGCTTGTTTGGAAGTATTGTGAAGGATTCAGAAAAGATATTTTCTGAAAAGCTGCTTAAGGAACGATTAGAGACTGATTCTCTTCAAGAATTTGGTATCGTTAATAAGAATTTTTATAGCAAATTTATCAAGATTAAGACCAAACTTTATTATAAGCAACGGCGATTTAACTTGTTTCGCGAAGAAAATGAAGGATATGCAAAGCTATTGACGGAACTTAACAAGGAATATGTGGATGATGATAGCGATAGAAATTCATTAGAAATGGTGAAATCTCTTATCGGATGCTTTAATGTCGATCCAAATAGAGTTTTAGACGTGATACTTGAATCATTTGAAATTCGTCCAGAGCGCCATGAACTTTATATTCCATTACTTAAATCATACATGCCTGATTCGAGTATAATCAGTGAAATTTTGGGATACAAGTATCGAAATTATTCTGAGGAGCAAACACCATTTTCTCTTTATAAAGTCACTGCGATTCTTCTTCAATATAACATAATAAAGTTAAATGACATTTATTCTTGGTTATCGCCTGTCGATGAGAAATTGAATGCTGACTGGCAAGCTGAAATCGACGAAGCAAAAGAATATGTTCGCAAGCTTAAAATTATATCAACAAATAAAGAGAAAAATCCAGACGATGAGAAGGAACCAGAAATTGAAGCAAATCATGAGAAATCTCATGCTAAGAATCAGAAATTTGGTCTTTGCGAGGCTCTTATTAAGATCGCTGATTGGGAGAATGCTCAAAAGTTGATTTCAAAATTGCCTGACAAGTGCGTTACATCATATGAATCTATAGCCAAGGAACTGTGCAATTTAATCAACATAACAATCGAACCAATTTATCGTTTAAAATGTGCGATTCCAGCAAATATCAAAGGAAAAATATTATCACCACATCCTAATAAACAAGCTCCTCCACAAGTCATTTCATTCATCAACTTAAGAGATCATGCATTTCCGATGCTCAATACACTTGGACCATCTCTTCATTATGATCCAGTCTTGCTTCAAAAATTAATCAGATTGATGCGAGTCATTTTAGAAAGTGAATTAAATATTGATGCTTCAACACCGTCGCCAACTCAAACAGACGATAAAAACATCCTGTATTTCGATATTATTTCTCTTTTGGATTCTTGTGTTCTTCCTTCATTATCATACATGGAAAGTAATTGCTGTGTAGCTGAGGAAATTTGGACAGTCGTTAAGCTATATCCTTACAATATTCGCTATGCTCTATACAATTATTGGAAAAACGAGTCGTATTTAGTACATCCAAAACTTATTCGTATGAGAGGTGATGCTGAACAAGACATTAAAGCACTAATGAAACGAGTCAGTAAAGAAAATGTTAAACCTGTTGGTCGACGTATTGGAAAATTAACTCACAGCTCTCCAGGATTTCTCTTTGACTATGTAAGTAGTTTCAGTATTTTAACGGCTAAATTGAATTCAAATGCTTCAAAACCTTTCAATCGAATTTGAATGGTTTTTGAAATAATTTATAGGGTGTTGAAATTTAAATAAAAGCCGCTAAACTTAAAAACTTTATGACTGTATATAAAATTTAATTCAAAGGTTCTTGGGCAAATTCAGCTTTATGATAACTTGATAGCACCAGTGGTTGATGCATTAAGATTCTTGACTTCTTTGTCATACGATGTTTTGGGATATTGTGTGATTGAAGCACTTGTAACGAGCGGAAAAGAGCGATTCAAATATGGCATTTTGTCAGATTGGCTTCAAAGTTTAGCCAACTTCTGTGGAGCAATTTATAAGAAATATTCCATTGAATTAAGCGGATTGATGCAATACATTTGTAATCAGTTAAAGGCGCATAAAAGTTTGGATTTATTGATTCTGAAGGAAATTGTCCAGAAAATGGTGGGCATAGAGGCAGTTGAGGAGATGACAAATGAACAATTAAGTGCTATGTGCGGTGGAGAGTTGCTTAAAGGCGAAGTATGTTATTTCAAAAATCAAAGCGTTACTTAATGGTACTAATTAAACAATTTTATTCGCAGGCTGGCTACTTTAGTCAAGTTAGAAACACGAAGAAATCATCACAGCGCCTTAAAGATGCTCTCGCTAGTAATGATTTATCCGTTGCTTTATGTCTTTTAATTGCTCAGCAAAAGAACTGTGTCATTTATCATGAGACATCCAAAAGTCACCCGAAATTAGTGGGTAAACTTTATGATCAATGTCAAGATACTTTGGTTCAGTTCGGAAACTTTTTGGGTTCGACTTATTCAGTTGAAGAGTATGTAGAACGTTTACCATCAATCCATAACATGTTATTAGACTATCACATCCATTCAGATGTAGCATTTTTCTTGGCTCGTCCTATGTTTACTCATGCAATTAATCAGAAATATGATCAATTGAGAAAGAATGACACGAGTATGAAGAAATTGACAAGCTCACAAAAGCAAGAAAAATATCTCGAGGCAACATCATTTGTTATGAATCCTGTTATTGATTCCGTTAAACCACTTCATCCTCTTAAGGTTTGGGAAGATATTAGTCCTCAATTTCTAGTTACTTTCTGGTCACTATCAATGTACGATCTTCAAACTCCAAATGAGAGCTATCAACGGGAAATTAACAAGCTGAAACTACAAATTGTAGCACTAAATGCCAATGAAAGTGGAAACACTGCATCAAAAATTAAGAAGGAACTTGAAAGGCTACAAGCATTTTCAGAAAAATTACAAGAAGAAAAGAAAAAGCAACAGGAGCATGTTGAAAAGATCATGGGAAGACTTAATATCGAGAAAGACAGTTGGTTTCCATCAAGAACATCAAAAGGTGCCAAAAACGAGACAATTCCTCAGTTCCTGCAACTCTGTCTATTTCCTCGCTGTACATTTACTGCTTTGGATGCTCTTTATTGCGCAAAATTTGTTAATATCATTCACACTCTTAAAACTCCAAATTTCTCGACTCTACTTTGTTACGATCGGGTAAATACTATAATTCACAAAAGTAATACCTTAGATCATTGTTAAAATTAACTCATTTTTTTTCATTAGATTCTTTGTGATATAACGTGCAGTATTACAACATGCACAGAAAATGAAGCTAACCGTTATGGACGTTTCTTAAATGCAATGCTGGAAACAGTTATGAGATGGCATTCTGATGAGGCAACCTTCAATAAAGAGTGCGCTAATTTCCCAGGATTCGTCACTAAGTTTAGAATTAGTAATCAGGTAAGTTCGAGACTCACATAAATTTTCAAGTAAATATGTTTAATGTCTTTTATTCCCGGATCAGTGTACCGATAAAAATGATCACGTTGGATATGAAAACTTTCGTCATGTTTGCCATAAATGGCATTTCAAAATAACACGATCAATTGTCACTTGCTTAGGATCAAAGGACTACACACAAATCAGAAATGCATTTATTATTCTCATGCATATTCAAAACCATTTCCCAGTAGTCAGCAAAACTGAACAAGTCATCCATAAACGCGTAGAGAAGGTCCGTGATGAAGAAAAAGTCAAGCGTCAAGACTTGTATGTTTTAGCTTCATCCTATTTAGGTATTCTTAAGCAAAAACAAGGTCAATTAATTTTGGAGAATGATTTCCATCAAGTCGCTGCTGCAGCCAACGATCAAAATAAATCAGTTAATGGAGATGCTAAAGCTGGTAAGTGATTAATACGAATTACTTTTTGTTTGTCAAAATGTAAAGTCATTAATTTATTTATTTTTTAATAGATAAGAAACAAGCGAAGGAAGAGCGTGTCGAAAAGAAGCCAATTAAATTTGAGCGTGAATCATCAAAGGTCACTGTTGAGCGTGAGATTAAAATCACTCCAGCCCGTGAAATGTCAAAAGACAAGAGAGAACCGACACCAAGAGAAAAATCATCGATCAAGGAAGAAAAACGCGAAATTAAGGAACGAGATGATAAACGCGAAAAAGAGAAGGAGAAGCGTCGAGAGAAAAGACCAACATCGCCAGTCGAATTTGAAGGTGATCTCAGTTCAGTGTCCAATTCAAGTAATGGATCTATAATACAGCCATCTAATACAAACGATGTCGTGATTGTTGATGATCATCGAGGTAAGTTTTTATCACTATAAATACTTTATGCCTTTAATTTAACGTGTTTCTTTTTCACAGAATCAAAACGTCGTAAAGTGGATGTCTCGTCGAAGGTTAGTATTTCCGTCACATAAAAAAGGGGGTTGAAGAAGAAAAAAATGACAAGTTGTTTTAAAACCAAGAAAATGGACCTTCGTAGTATGCAAAATGATCATCAAGCATAAATGTATATTAGACTATCAAAAACTGTCCTTATAAATAAGATAATTCGAATAATTTGGCTTCATGGAAACATTTCAAATACGTTTTTACAATGAGGAGAGCAGACTTGACTTCATTAATTGTAAATTTTAATAAATTGTTGAGCAGTTTATGATGTCACGAAGCAATCACAACTTATGGAAGGTACTAAAGAATGGATAATGATGATTTAAAGTGATTAAAAAAAGAGAATAATAACAGAAAATGGACTGAATTCGTTGTGTGTGTTATACAGTGAATTAAAATATTGTAAAGTGAATAATTTAATGAAAAAAAAAAAAAAATTGTATAGTCTTCTGTCTAGTCATTGGAAATATGAATGAAGTCATTAAATTTTCTACCTCTAAAAATTCAAACGTGATATTAAAGTAAAAATTTCATCATTCTTCTAAGTTAGCCATAAGTTCCACTAATCTAAAATTCCAGTTCATAGTTTTATTAATCTCAAATGGTATAAAGTCAATAAACATGCTTAATGTGAGCATGATGAATATTCCAAACAAGGATATTTAGTCGTCCAAAACGAGGCTCCATCTTACAATGCAGCATAGCATCGAAGAAGAGAAATTAATCAATTGACATTTTTGCAGAAGCGTGTTGAAGAAGATGACGTCATTATTGAAGTTAGTAAAAAAGATCGAGCAATGAAAAAAGAAAAGCGTGAAAAACAAACAGACGAGGAAAAAGAATTAAGAAAGGAAAAGAAATTAATTAAAAAGCGGGTAAGAAAAATGTCTAAAACCGTTCATAAACTGCAAATAATAATGTTTGTAAATGAATTTATATTTGGGCGATTCTCCAGAACGATGAAATTTTTCAAAATGAGCTTTTAAAGACTATTGTCTATTATGCTTACATCATAAAAATATATTGTGCAATTTCTTTCAATCCTTTTTTTAAAAGCCATGAATTCCAACGAATTAGGAAAATTAAAGCTCTCGCGTTGCTTTATGACATAAAGTTGACTTTCGGATTACCTTGTTGAAACTTTTAAAAAATTCCATTTTTGGTCACAAAGCAACGGACCAAAGAATCAAAATATCCTAATAAAAACGACAATTTATGCTTAGATAAATAAATTAATAGATAGGAAATGAAAAATTACATCAAATAAACTGAAAACCTTGTTTGGTTTAGTGGGAAAATTTCGACAAAAAAAATTCATTTGAAGTCAATTTTTTTTGCAATTTTCCCTGGAGAGAATCGCCCATTTATAGTTTAACTGTGTTTTATTTAATAAAAGCTATGATTGTCAATATAGGATCGAGAGGAAAGTGGACAGGTGAATGAAAAGAGACGTAAGAACGAAGAAAAGACTGTCAAAATTTCGCATCATAATGGAGAAGAGGAGTTGAGGGAACGTCATTCGAGGAGTCAAGTATGTCTCTAAATAAATCATTGTAATTCATATTCAATACAATTTTCTTTCTTTTTTTGCATCTATAGGAAGTCTTTGATCGTCATCATGAAAAAGGACATTACCCAAAATCTACTAGATCAACTCGTTATTAAAACAATCTGAAATGTTACATCATTTGACAACTGAAATTTTCATTTATTAATTAAAATTAAGGCATACATGTTCAACAAGCTTACTCAATTTAAAGAAACAGAAGATAATGTGTATTTAAGTAAGAAAAAATAAAAATTTTAAGATATTTTTACGTAAAATTTGTCTTTTTTTCAATCATTCAATTGAATGTTTATTTCTAAACATTAATGCATTAAACACTGCGAAAAAACGTAAACAAAAACATTGAAAATGGATCATTTCAGTTAATTGACCAAAGCTGTCGGTTCATTATTAAAAAATACTTTATAAAAAAAACATTTTAAAAAAAACTACGTTTTTCGCGTGGACTTAAATGTAAAAAATAACTTTTCTTATTGGTTGCAAAGAATTTGGTTTTAAATTTTCAGATTATATTTAATAAATTTTTATATCTTAGTCAATATTGTTCACAAAGTTTCGAATAAGTGCACCTTGATCTTATCGTATAGCTCCACAACTAAAAACGTGGGCGCATTAAGTTAAGTTTTTCATAGAGTATTGACTTCGAATAAACATATTTTTCCCAATTTTTCCTTTTATAATGTGCTCACGATTTTAGTTGTGGAGTTATACGATAAGATCAAGGTGTATTTATTCCAAACCTTGTGAACGATATTGACTAAGATATAAAAATTTCTTAAATATAATCTGAAAATTTAAAACCAAATTCTTTGCAACCAAGAAGAAAAGTTATTTTCTACTTTTTAGTCCATGCGAAAAACGTAGTTTTTTCAAAAAGTTTTTTTTTATAAAGTATTTTATTTTCTACTTTTTAGTTTACGCGAAAAACGTAGTTTTTTTAAAAAGATTTTTTTATAAAGTATTTTTTTAATACCTAGATATGTTTTATAATTCAATTTAAAGCATTTTTGGTTTCGATCATAGTAGGCAATTTTCAAAAAAAAATATCGATTTTATTTCTATATTAGCATTCTTTATCGTTTATAATACCTAGATATGTTTTAAAATGCAATTTAAAGCATTTTTGGTTTCGATCATAGTAGGCTATTTTCAAAAAAAATATCGATTTTATATCTATATTAGCATTCTTTATCATTTATAATACCTAGATATGTTTTAAAATGCAATTTAAAGCATTTTTGGTTTCGATCATAGTAAGCAATTTTCAAAAAAAATATCGATTTTATATCTATATTAGCATTCTTTATCATTTATAATACCTAGATATGTTTTAAAATGCATTTTAAAGCATTTTTGGTTTCGATCATAGTAGGCTATTTTTAAAAAAAATATCGATTTTATATCTATATTAGCATTTTTTATCATTTATAATACCTAGATATGTTTTATATTGCAATTTAAAACATTTTTGGTTTCGATCATAGTAGGCTATTTTTAAAAAAAATATCGATTTTATATCTATATTAGCATTTTTTATCATTTATAATACCTAGATATGTTTTATATTGCAATTTAAAACATTTTTGGTTTCGATCAAAGTAGGCTATTTTCAAAAAAAATTATCGATTTTATATCTATATTAGCATTCTTTATCATTTATAATACCTAGATATGTTTTAAAATTCAATTTAAAGCACTTTTGGTTTCGATCATAGTAGGCTATTTTTAAAAAAAATATCGATTTTATATCTATATTAGCATTTTTTATCATTTATAATACCTAGATATGTTTTATATTGCAATTTAAAACATTTTTGGTTTCGATCATAGTAGGCTATTTTTAAAAAAAATATCGATTTTATATCTATATTAGCATTTTTTATCATTTATAATACCTAGATATGTTTTATATTGCAATTTAAAACATTTTTGGTTTCGATCACAGTAGGCTATTTTCAAAAAAAAAATATCGATTTTTTATCTATATTAGCTTTCTTTATCATTTATAATACCTAGATATGTGTTAAAATGCAATTTAAAGCATTTTTGGTTTCGATCACAGTAGGCTATTTTCAAAAAAATTATCGATTTTATATCTATATTAGCATTCTTTATCATTTATAATACCTAGATATGTGTTAAAATGCAATTTAAAGCATTTTTGGTTTCGATCATAGTAGGCTATTTTCAAAAAAAAATATCAAATTTATATCTATATTAGCATTCTTTATCATTTATAATATCTAGATATGTGTTAAAATGCAATTTAAAGCATTTTTGGTTTCGATCACAGTAGGCTATTTTCAAAAAAAATATCAAATTTATATCTATATTAGCATTCTTTATCATTTATAATATCTAGATATGTGTTAAAATGCAATTTAAAGCATTTTTGGTTTCGATCACAGTAGGCTATTTTCAAAAAAAAATATCAAATTTATATCTATATTAGCATTCTTTATCATTTATAATATCTAGATATGTGTTAAAATGCAATTTAAAGCATTTTTGGTTTCGATCATAGTAGGCAATTTTCAAAAAAAAATATCGATTTTATTTCTATATTAGCATTCTTTATCGTTTATAATACCTAGATATGTTTTATATTGCAATTTAAAACATTTTTGGTTTCGATCATAGTAGGCTATTTTTAAAAAAAATATCGATTTTATATCTATATTAGCATTTTTTATCATTTATAATACCTAGATATGTTTTATATTGCAATTTAAAACATTTTTGGTTTCGATCATAGTAGGCTATTTTAAAAAAAAAATATAGATTTTATATCTATATTAGCTTTCTTTATCATTTATAATACCTAGATATGTTTTATATTGCAATTTAAAACATTTTTGGTTTCGATCATAGTAGGCTATTTTAAAAAAAAATATCGATTTTATATCTATATTAGCTTTCTTTATCATTTATAATACCTAGATATGTTTTATAATGCAATTTAAAACATTTTTGGTTTCGATCAAAGTAGGCTATTTTCAAAAAAAATTATCGATTTTATATCTATATTAGCATTCTTTATCATTTATAATACCTAGATATGTTTTAAAATTCAATTTAAAGCACTTTTGGTTTCGATCATAGTAGGCTATTTTCAAAAAAATTATCGATTTTATATCTATATTAGCATTCTTTATCATTCAAAATACCCAGATATGCTTTAAAATGCAATTTAAAGCATTTTTGGTTTCGATCACAGTAGGCTATTTTCAAAAAAAAAAATATCGATTTTTTATCTATATTAGCTTTCTTTATCATTTATAATACCCAGATATGTGTTATAATGCAATTTAAAGCATTTTTAGTTTCGATCATAGTAGGCTATTTTCAAAAAAATTATCGATTTTATATCTATATTAGCATTCTTTATCATTTATAATACCTAGATATGTGTTAAAATGCAATTTAAAGCATTTTTGGTTTCGATCATAGTAGGCTATTTTCAAAAAAAAATATCAAATTTATATCTATATTAGCATTCTTTATCATTTATAATATCTAGATATGTGTTAAAATGCAATTTAAAGCATTTTTGGTTTCGATCACAGTAGGCTATTTTCAAAAAAAAATATCAAATTTATATCTATATTAGCATTCTTTATCATTTATAATATCTAGATATGTGTTAAAATGCAATTTAAAGCATTTTTGGTTTCGATCACAGTAGGCTATTTTCAAAAAAAATATCAAATTTATATCTATATTAGCATTCTTTATCATTTATAATATCTAGATATGTGTTAAAATGCAATTTAAAGCATTTTTGGTTTCGATCACAGTAGGCTATTTTCAAAAAAAATTATCGATTTTATATCTATATTAGCATTCTTTATCATTCATAATACCCAGATATGCTTTAAAATGCAATTTAAAGCATTTTTGGTTTCGATCATAGTAGGCTATTTTCAAAAAAAAAAATATCGATCTTATATCTATATTAGCATTCTTTATCATTTATAATACCTAGATATGTTTTAAAATTCAATTTAAAGCATTTTTGGTTTCGATCATAGTAGGCTATTTTCAAAAAAAATATCGATTTTATATCTATATTAGCATTCTTTATCATTTATAATACCTAGATATGTTTTATAATGCAATTTAAAACATTTTTGGTTTCGATCATAGTAGACTATTTTCAAAAAAAATATCGATTTTATATCTATATTAGCATTCTTTATCATTTATAATACCCAGATATGTGTTATAATGCAATTTAAAGCATTTTTAGTTTCGATCATAGTAGGCTATTTTCAAAAAAATTATCGATTTTATATCTATATTAGCATTCTTTATCATTTATAATACCTAGATATGTGTTAAAATGCAATTTAAAGCATTTTTGGTTTCGATCATAGTAGGCTATTTTCAAAAAAAAATATCAAATTTATATCTATATTAGCATTCTTTATCATTTATAATATCTAGATATGTGTTAAAATGCAATTTAAAGCATTTTTGGTTTCGATCACAGTAGGCTATTTTCAAAAAAAATATCAAATTTATATCTATATTAGCATTCTTTATCATTTATAATATCTAGATATGTGTTAAAATGCAATTTAAAGCATTTTTGGTTTCGATCACAGTAGGCTATTTTCAAAAAAAAATATCAAATTTATATCTATATTAGCATTCTTTATCATTTATAATATCTAGATATGTGTTAAAATGCAATTTAAAGCATTTTTGGTTTCGATCATAGTAGGCAATTTTCAAAAAAAAATATCGATTTTATTTCTATATTAGCATTCTTTATCGTTTATAATACCTAGATATGTTTTAAAATGCAATTTAAAGCATTTTTGGTTTCGATCATAGTAGGCTATTTTCAAAAAAAATATCGATTTTATATCTATATTAGCATTCTTTATCATTTATCATACCTAGATATGTTTTAAAATGCAATTTAAAGCATTTTTGGTTTCGATCATAGTAAGCAATTTTCAAAAAAAATATCGATTTTATATCTATATTAGCATTCTTTATCATTTATAATACCTAGATATGTTTTATATTGCAATTTAAAACATTTTTGGTTTCGATCATAGTAGGCTATTTTTAAAAAAAATATCGATTTTATATCTATATTAGCATTTTTTATCATTTATAATACCTAGATATGTTTTATATTGCAATTTAAAACATTTTTGGTTTCGATCATAGTAGGCTATTTTAAAAAAAAAATATAGATTTTATATCTATATTAGCTTTCTTTATCATTTA